CTCGAACCTATTGGGGGGAAGGCCTGTCCCGCTGAGTGTACAAGTCAGGTGAGGGTAGCGTTGCAGTCTTACCGTGTGTTCGGCGTTCGAGTGGGGGGGAGGGGGGGGGGCAAAAAAAGGTCGTGAAGTGGGCAAGGGTTTAGGGTGGGCGGCCGGCTGGCAAGCTAGGCGCAAGCGAGTTGTCGCTCACACGAGCGGGCATAGGCAACAACACACGGCTTACGGACGAGACAAACGGGAGGCAGGTTGGACTGGACCGCAGCGCAGGTAGATACCAGACAAGATCGTGTCAAGCTTGCGTATGGGCCTAGACAGGTTGGGCGTGGCCATGGCCGTGGCTGTCGTCATGGCGGTGGTCGTGGCGGACGTTGTCACGTGCGTGGCGGGAAGCACACCATGTGAGAGCCACAAGACATGTCCGACGTGCTCAGCAGGGAGCAAGGAGTGTCTCTGGTGTGCTGCTGGGGGTGTGCCGCATTGCTACAACGTGACGGCACACCCGCACGCGTGTGACGAGGCGTGTGTGTCACCAGCATGCAACGCAGGCGGATGTGAGGCGCACCTCGACTGCCGGACGTGCGCAGCGGACAGCGGGTGCGGGTGGTGCTCGCAGTCGAGGGCGTGTATGCAGGGCACGGCCTCGGGGCCGTGTCAAAACGGCATGTGTGCGCAGTCCGAGTGGAACTTTGCCAACTGCTCGAACAACTGTCCGCTCTTTGAGGGCTGCGCCGAGTGCACGGCTGCGCCGGGCGACGGCTGTGCGTACTGCCTCACCGAGGAGGTGTGCGTGGGCGGTGACGACGCCCACAAGTGCCGGTGTGCGCGTGAGTCGTGCGGAGTGTGTGAGGCCAAGACTGGGTGTGCCGATTGCACCGACGATCCTGCGTGCGGATGGTGTGCGTCGGCAAACGGTGGCAAGGGCGGGTGCCTGCCTGCGTTTGACCAGCACGAGCCGTGCGACAAGGGCGCATGTCCGGCGCCACTGGCCAAGAACTGGCAGTATGGCAAGTGCGCCGTCAACTGCACTCTGTTCTCAGCAAGCTGTGCAGAGTGTACCGCCCACTACGCGGACTCGGGCTGCGAGTGGTGCGAGGCGACCGAGGCGTGCCTCGCCCCGGCGCAGTTTACCTCGTGTCCTGCGTGCCTGGTCTCGACCTGTCCCGACTGTGGAAGCTACGAGAGCTGCTCCGAGTGCATCGGAGACGCAAGCTGTGGATGGTGCTCCGAGTCTGAGGCGTGTGTGCCGGGAGAGGCCGGCGGTGCGTGCGGCGGGCCGCAGGTCTGCCCGGCGCCGGAATGGAACTACGAGACGTGCGCGGCCGACTGTGCGTCACTCGAGACGTGCACCGCGTGCACGGCGATGGCGACTGAGGCCGGCTGCCGCTGGTGTGCCGACGAGGGCATCTGCCGCTTTGGGCCCGAGTTCAACGGGACAGCGTGCCGATGCGTCCGTGACTTTTGCCCGGCCACCAGCTGTTCGGCGCTCTCGGGCACATCTTGCGCACAGTGCGTGGCGACTCAGGGCTGCGGGTGGTGCCCCGAGACGGCGTCATGCCTCTCGGGCTCTGACGCTGGGCCGTGCTCGTCCACCGCGCAGTGCAAGGCAGGATGGTCGTACGGAACATGTGACGGGACGTGCGGGCAGCACGGCGACTGCACGTCGTGTCGGGCCGACACCGAGGCGGGATGTGGGTGGTGCGCTGGGACGCAGGCGTTCCCGGGCTCGCTCACGCCGGTCTCGCTCTGCGTCCAGGCCGATACGTCCGACTCTGCGCCGGCCGACGGCCGGCAGTGCGCGCGTTGGTACGGCTCGCACAGCAGTGAGACGTGTCCAGCGTGCGGTGATAGCGAGCACAACACGTGTCAGACGTGCACGACTGATGCGTCGTGTGGATGGTGCGGCGAGTTTTGTCGCGAAGGCGACGCCAACGGCCCGTTCAACTCCCCGGGCTGCTCATCGTGGTCTTTCGGCGACTGTCAGTCCGAGTGCCCACTGGTGGGCAACTGTGGCGACTGTGTGCAGGTGCCTGAATGCGGGTGGTGCAAGAACCCGCTGCACATTGGCGGCTTTTGCACCGGTGTCGATTCCAAGTCTCAGTGCTACGAGTGGCAGCCATCCAACTGCGAGCCCGAGTGCGAGACGAACCTTGTGTGCTCGGCTTGCACCGCCAACTCGTCGTGCGGGTGGTGCGAGTCCAAGGGCTCGTCCGGCTCGACGGCGACGTGCGTGCGCGGGACCGGGCAAGGCCCGCTCGACACGACGTGCTCGCTCGGCTGGTCGTATGGCCACAAGTCGTGTGTCTCGTCGTGTGCCCGCTATCTCGACTGCGGCTCGTGCGTGCTCAACGCTGATTGCGGATGGTGCTCGGCAGCCGGTGGTGCATGCATGGCCGGCAAGTTTGACGGGCCGGACCAGGGCGTGTGTCCGCCCGACGACTGGACCCATGCGCCGTCGGTCTGCTCGTCGCCGTTTGACAACTGCGTTGCGCACACCGAGTGCTCCTCGTGCATCGCGCGCAACTCGTGCGGCTGGTGCGATGCCGACAAAAGTGCTACTCCGGCCACAAGTCGTCGCCCATCGCGCCTAACACCTGCCCGCGCGACTGGCTCTTTGCCTCGTGCTCGGCCGCCCTCCCCATCCCGGCGCGCTCCAAGGAGCTCTCTCCCTGGGTCGTCGCCGCCATCACCGCCGGCGCCATCCTTGTCCCCATCGTCGGCGGCGCCGCCTACATGTACCGTCGCTACCTCGCCAAGTACGGCTACCCCGCACTCGAGGGGTGAAGCTCGGCATTGGCATTCAACTTTGCGACTACCACCAACTGACTCGGGCTGCACCCGTTTCGGCGTTTGGCGGTCGGCGGCGTGTTGCGGGTGGCGGGCAACTCTCGTCTCTCCAACCAGTATGTACATTGAGCAGGCTAAACAAGCCGTGTCCTGACGGCATGGGCCCAGCAAAGCGAGAAAACATGGACTGGACGTGTGTGCAAGGTGTATACCTCGTGCTACATGCTACAAAGGACATGATTTGTGGTTGCAGTGGCCGCAGAGGAACCGGGTGGCCTGTGGAGGGTGTGTGGAGAGATGGCGCGCGATACGAATCAAACTCACAAAACTTGAAATTTTCATGTGGCGGGCTTCCGGGCACTGGCACGAACACAGCCTGTATCCTCAAACCACCACTACCACTCACCACACCAACACCGTCTACGACCTACCTAGCTATGTCCATCGTAGTTATTGACAAGAGCGGAGCCGACCGGATGCGTGTTCCGCTGCATGGGACGTGCACTTTCGGCCGGGCACCCGAGTGCGACGTCCGGGTGCAAAAGTCGGACGTCTCACGGCAGCACTGCCAGCTCGCCATCGACGAGAACGGCAAGTGCGTGCTGACGAACCTGTCGTCAACCAATGCAACGTATGTCGACTCTGAGGCGGTCGAGACACACATGATTCTCGAGTCCGGCATGATGTTTGCTGTCGGGCCGCGGTACTTTCGCTACGAGGCGCCCGAGGGCATCGCGGTGAGCAAGAAGGCCGAGGCCACGCCAGAGCCGGCGCCCACGGCGGCGCCAGCACCTTCGTCTGTTGTCAAGGCTGTCCAGCCGGTGCCTGCGTTCCAGTGGACCGAGTCTGAGGCCTCGCCAACGACCCAGGCCAAGTCTCAGCAGTTGAGGGCGATGCAGACGCCGCTGCGGCGCGAGATTGCCGCTCGCGGCTCGCGCCCGAACCCGGTGTTCCAGGACAAGGCCAATAAGATGGCCACGCCGCTCAAGCGGGCGCTTTTCCAGGAAGCTCAGGCCCGTCAGCGCACCTTTGCCGAGTTCTCAGACGCCGACGCCGACGCCTCGTTTGCGTCCGACGCAACAGACACTGAGCTCGGCATGTTTGAGGACGAGGAGCTGTCTATTATTGCACCGCGCAAGCTCATGCAGGTTCTCAACACTCCGCTCAAGGAGGACATTGCCAAGCGCGGTGCCACCAAGCTTGACGTTGTCTATGTCTCGGACGCACCAGTTATGGCGACGCCGATGAAGAAGGCGATCCGCAAGCGCGGTGCTGCCAAGCGCGAGGTTGTGCCGGTGGCTGACGCGCCGGTCATGGCGACGCCGATGAAGAAGGCGATCCGCAAGCGCGGTGCTGCCAAGCGCGAGGTTGTGCCGGTGGCTGACGCGCCGGTCATGGCGACGCCGATGAAGAAGGCGATCCGCAAGCGCGGTGCTGCCAAGCGCGAGGTTGTGCCGGTGGCTGACGCACCGGTCATGGCGACGCCGATGAAGAAGGCGATCCGCAAGCGCGGTGCTGCCAAGCGCGAGGTTGTGCCAGTGGCTGACGCGCCGGTCATGGCGACGCCGATGAAGAAGGCGATCCGCAAGCGCGGTGCTGCCAAGCGCGAGGTTGTGCCGGTGGCTGACGCACCGGTCATGGCGACGCCGATGAAGAAGGCGATCCGCAAGCGCGGTGCTGCCAAGCGCGAGGTTGTGCCAGTGGCTGACGCGCCGGTCATGGCGACGCCGATGAAGAAGGCGATCAAGGCCAAGGCCAATGCGTCGCGCATCCCTACGCCCAAGACCATGGCAACGCCGATGAAGAAGGCAATCCGCAAGCGCGGTGCCGCCGAGCGTGAGGTTGTGCCTGTTACTGATGCTCCGACGATGGCGACGCCGATGAAGAAGGCAATCAAGGCCAAGGCTAGCGAGTCGCGCATTCCGACCATCAACACGGCTCCGGTCATGGCGACGCCGATGAAGAAGGCAATCAAGGCCAAGGCTAGCGAGTCGCGCATTCCGACCATCAACACGGCTCCGGTCATGGCGACGCCGATGAAGAAGGCAATCAAGGCCAAGGCTAGCGAGTCGCGCATTCCGACCATCAACACGGCTCCGATCATGGCGACGCCGATGAAGAAGGCAATCAAGGCCAAGGCTAGCGAGTCGCGCATTCCGACCATCAACACGGCTCCGATCATGGCGACGCCGATGAAGAAGGCAATCAAGGCCAAGGCTAGCGAGTCGCGCATTCCGACCATCAACACGGCTCCGATCATGGCGACGCCGATGAAGAAGGCAATCAAGGCCAAGGCAGCCGAGCCGCGAGCGGCAGTGAGCAAGCCGATCGAGGAGAACTCCTCCCAGCACAAGAAGACCAGCAAGTCGAAGAAGAAGAAGAGGTCTGCCGTCCGCAAGCCCATCAAGCACGCTCAGCCAAAGGAGTATGTGCCGAAGGCTGCGCCTGCCGCTGTCAAGGTTGCGGCTAAGGTTGTGGCTGAGGTCAAGGCTGAGGTCGAGTCCGAGGTCGAGGCTGAGGTCGAGGTCGAGTCCGAGGTCGAGGCTGAGGTCGAGGCCGAGGCTGAGGTCGAGGTCGAGTCCGAAGTCGAGGCTGATGAGGTCGAGGCCGAGTCCGAGGTTGAGGCTGAGGTCGAGGTCGAGGCTGAGGTCGAGGCCGAGGTTGAGGTCGAGGTCGAGTCCGAGGTCAAGGCTGAGGTCGAGGTCGAGTCCGAGGTCGAGTCCGAGGTTGAGGTCGAGGTCGAGTCCGAGGTCGAGGCTGAGGTCGAGGTCGAGTCCGAGGTCGAGTCCGAGGTCGAGGCTGAGGTCGAGCAAGAGGTCGAGGTCATTAACTACTCCAAGTGGAAGGTCGTCGAGCTTCGTGCCGAGCTCTCTTCCCGCGGCCTCGCCACTACTGGCCGCAAGGCTGAGCTTATCGCCCGCCTCGAGTCTGCCCCTACCGATGCCGCCGACAGCGCTGCTGCCGCAGTCGAGGCCGAGGCTGAGGTCGAGGCAGAGCCCAAGATCGAGGCAGAGCCCAAGATCGAGGCCATCAACTACTCCAAGTGGAAGGTCGCTGAGCTGCGTGCCGAGCTCTCGGCCCGTGGCCTCGCCACTACCGGCCGCAAGGCTGAGCTCGTCGCTCGTCTCGAGGCCAATGCCTCAGCCCCCGTGTGCTCGTCGGCAGCTGCTGAGGAGACCGAGCCGACTCCCGAGTCAGAGGCCCAGACCGTCGACTACTCCAAATGGAAGGTTGCTCAGCTCCGCACCGAGCTCTCCACCCGCGGCCTCGACACTACGGGGCGGAAGGCCGAGCTGGTGGCCCGCCTCCAGACCGCCGGCGACGCCTCCACCACTGACGCGATCAAGGTTGCCGACCAGGCCATCGATGCTGATGACGCTCAGGCCCAGCCGATTAACTACGCCAAGTGGAAGGTTGTTGAGCTTCGTGCTGAGCTCTCATCCCGTGGCCTCTCGACCGCCGGCCGCAAGGCTGACCTGGTCAAGCGTCTCGCCGATCTACAGTGAGGTATCGTGTCGCGTTAAATGTGTACTCTTGCAACCCCGGAGTCGGCGTCAGCAGCACAAAGACGTGGCCAGCGACTGGAGCGCGACCGGCGTAATGTGACTTTTGTGTCGGCGACAGTCAGCGCTAGCCGTCCGCCGCTCTCGTCTGCGCGCACGATGTCATTCGGTGTCGCTGCAGAAGCCCACCGCAGCGCGATCGACGACGAGCCCGGGCGGATCGATCGCCCCAGTACTAGATCATCACCAAGGGCGGAAACCAGAGTACCGTCATCTCTTTTCTGCCACAGCTGGTTGGCCCAATGCCGCTTCCGTGCCCGCCGCTTCCGATAGAGCACGACACGTGCCCCGTCATCGGTCTGCCCGTAGTCGACATCTACGACGAGTCCGGAGCTGGCGTGCTCAAGATGCATCCAAGGTGCAAACTGCGACGCGACGAGGGAAAATCCATCGATGGTCTCTTGCACCCGGGCCGTGTATGCCAGCTCTATCACGGCAGCATGCGGAATCATGTCAAACGCTGCGTTGACAAAGGTGGTGCCATCTCGGACCTCACTGTGCGCGCCGTACTGGTGAACGTGGCCGAAAAGATGGAGCCGGGCAGACGAGGCAAGAACCCGCTCGCGAAGGGCGGCATCTCCCCAGTGGCGTCGCCACGCTGGATGGACTTTTCCGCATACACGACACTCGTAGTCGCTCCCGCTCCGTCCATTCGACGCCAGATCGAGGATGCCTGCCGGAGGCATGTGTGTGACGATGACGTCGACGTCTTCGGGACAGGTTTGCCATCGCGAGGCCCTCGCTGCAGCGTCCGGCTCGCCAAACATGTGGCTTCGCGACGCACTTGTCCACGGCGATCCCCAGACCCGCAGCCCAAAGGGAGCCACGATGGTGTCCGAGTCCTGCAGGTAGTGGGTCGCGTTGTCCAGCGCTTGGCCTATCTCGTCCGCGCTCATCCCTTTGAACGCGATGTCATGGTTGCCGAGCACAACAATCCTGGCCTCATACTCGAGCGCTAGCTCGCCGAGCCAGGCGTTAAAGTCGCGGGCGAGTGCTTTGCGCTCTTTACGCGGCGCGTGGCGATCGATAAAGTCCCCCGAGACCACCAGCACATCGCCCGGTGGCAGAGCAGCCGTCGTCTCGCGATGCCGCCCGTGCAAATCTGACAGATGCACGATCGTCACATGGTCCGACCCGCTCCCTGCACTCACACTATTCACCATCAGTGTGTCATCCATCGCTCCACCACACACCCTGGAACCTGGTCTGCCTGTTCACGATCGCCTTCATTGCCCTTGCCGCCGAGCCAGTTTTTGATGGTGGTAGGCGTCGAAGACCCGCGAAGGAAAGAAGGAATTCGCCCAGCCATCGCTGACAGCATCGACCGCCACTGCCCACCACTCCACCCGCCCGACCCCCACCCTATGAGCCAGCAAGCGGCTGAGGACGCGTTTGCAGCACTTGCCCAGGCACACACCAGTGGCATGGCGTCGGCAGTGGCCAGAGTGGTCGACGCAGCTCCACCGCCGCCGCATGGTGCGGTCCTGCTCCCCAGCCTGGCCATGCTTGCCTACGCACTGCCGGAGCCAGACAGCGACGTGGTGGAGCGGGAGGCCGAGGCGTCGGCCGCCGCGGACAAGATTGCCGGCTATCTCGACGCGCACTTCCAGGCACCAGCGATCCTTGCCCTGCTCGACGCCGGGCTGGCCTGGCAGGCCGATGCGCCGCGTCCGGTCCCGCCCAAGGATCCGGCTGGCTTTGCCGCCGCCGCGCCTCCCAGCCAGCTCGCTGTCGCCGCTGACCTGCCGCCGGCGTTGCTGGCCGACACAGCGGCGGCGCCGCGGGTCACTGCCGCACTGGCGGTCGGTCTCTTGACCGGCGTCGCCGAGCCCGAACGGGTCTTTTCCCACCTCGCTGCTGCTGCGGCCGCCACTGCCGAGCCCGGGCCAGTGGTGGCGCGCATGGCTGCCCTCCTCGCCAATGCACCGTTTCTCTTCCCGGTCGCGCTCCGCGCCATCGTCGCCTGTGACAATCCAGAGCCGAGTCTGGTGGCGCTGCTGGTCCGTCTTCGGCCCGATGCGCTGCAAGCGGTCCGCGCTGGCCTCCTCGCCCATCCAACGGGTCCGCGGGCCATTGCTGCGGCCCTGGAGTTGACACTGGCCCACGCTCGCGCCGAGCTGCCAGCGGTTGTCGAGGCTGCGCTCGCTTTGCCGGAGTGTGTGGCCAAGCTGGCAAGGGATGGCGGCCTTGACGCGGTGGTGGACGCGCTGGTGTCGGTTACTCCGGCCAGTGCCGGCCCAGCGCATGTTGCGGCCGCGCTCAAGCTGATTGCGGCGATTCTGGGCGTGGCCAAGGCCAGCGTCGGAGATGACGTGCTTGTGCGGGCGCTTCAGCTCATCACCGCGCATGCTGGGCGCTCGGGCTTGGTCTGCCGCATCGGGCTCTGCTTCCTGCTCGTGGTACCGAGCCTCACCGCCGCTGTCGGCAACGATACAGTGTGGGAGGCGCTGCGGGCGCTGCGAACGAGCTCCGAGGCGACGAACCTACTCCTTCTCATTTCGATCCACTTTCACACTGGTGCGCACGTGGCGGTGGCCGACACGGTGCGGCGGCTGCTTGGTATGCGGGTCGCACTCCACAACGAGTCGCTCTCGGCGATGGCCAAGCTCTTCACCTCTGTGCAGCTGTTCGACGAGCGCGAAGTGGCGCGGTCTGCGCCGCAGCTTGTGGTCCCGTCACCGCTGACGGCGAGTGCGGCGTCGCACTCGACGGCCCTCGAGTCGATGTACCACCTGTGCAAGTCGTCGGTCCTCACCCGGCATCAAGTTGATGTTTCGGCTTGGGTGTGGGATGCGGTGGCTGCAGCCGACTATCCGCTGCATCCGCTGCTGCCTGCGCTGGTCGCGGGACTTGTGGCGTCTTCGGATCCATCGCTTCCTTGGTCGATGGCGCTGTTTGAGCTCGACGCTCTTAGCAAAGCGCTCGAGGCCAAGACCGGCGCCCTGGCGCGGCCGCTGTCGGCTTCGGCTGTTCTGCTCATCTTTTACGTGTTGAGTGTCAACTACCGAGCGCTGACCGCAAGTTCGAGCACGATCGCGGCGTGCAAGTACCCCGATGAGTTTGTAGAGGCGCTGCCTTTGCAGGCGCTGTGGGTGCAAATGGCGTCGGAGCGGGCACCGCTTGGGAGCAAGGATGCTTCGGGCCTCGCGCTGGTTGAGCCGGCAATGGCCAAGATGATGCTCGGACTTGCGCCGCACGCGTTTACGGTAGTCCAGCTGGTGGCGATGGGCACAACGGCACTGCCGGCAGCGCACATGCCGCCCATCTCGCTCTTTCGGCGGCAGCGAGAAGCGATGGCTGCAACGGGTGCCGAGTTGGCGGCCGAGGTGGAGAGCGCTGTCCGCGACGGTGACGGGCCGCTGCTGGCCACGGCGCTGGAGCGCGGAGCGGTATGGATGTGGCGGATGCGCGGAGCGGGAGGCAACAAGCTCCGGAGCGCGGTGGTGAAGCATGTGGTGGGGCGCGAGGTGGCCGGCGCCCTCAGCAGCACTGCGTCAGCCGCGCTGTATTGGCTGCTCTGGGGTGCGATGCAAGAGACAGCTTGGCAGGTGGTGTGCGAGATTGTGGCGCATCTGCAGGAGGCGCCGACGCTGACGCCGGCGCAGCTGGCGCACGACCCGCTGCTCTTTCTGCGCCTGCCAGACGAGGCATTTACCGTTGCGCCTCTGGTCGAGCTTGTGCTTCATGGCCTGCATATGGGCCTTGCGGCGGCGACCTCGTCTGTGTTGCGGACCAAGGCCGGGACTCGGGAAGAGACGTCGACGTTGCTGATGGGCCAAGAGTGCGCAGTGGTGCTGATGGCCATCGAGGCTGTTGGCGTGGCCGCGCGCGAGGGTGCCGAGGAAGCGATGGCAGTTCTCTGCCAGTTTGTGCACGAGAAGTTCATTGCCAACGTCCTGCTCTGCAAACTCGTGCACTTTCAGATGTACAGTCCTGAGCTCATTCCGTTGCTTGTGGCCGGCGTGCCGTCAATGCATGTGGCATCGTCGTTTATGCCCGAGTTGCTGATGGCGCCGTCGACAGAGCACGTCCGGTTTGGCATCCTGGTCATGGCTGCACTTGCGGAACGATACCCGCTGCCGAGCATGTGTGACGTAGCTGGCCTTGCTGTTGGGCGCGCCAGCGAGGTTGCCGGAGAAGGCGATTCCATCATCAGCGCGGCGGCCGAGCAGCTGCGTGAGGTCTTTGGCGCGCATCTCCGGCCACACACCCGACCCGGCGGCGAGCCTGGCCGCGGATAAAGCCACAACCCTAACAATCGCTGCCCTTCTCACTTGGAAATCCAGACGACCGGAACCTCAGCGTGGGTTACCACGTGCTGCGAGACCGAGCCGAGGGCAAACATGCCATCTGCCGTCGAGTCGCGGCATCCGAGAGCAAGCACGTCGATGCCTTCGGCGTCAGCGACGGCACAGATTTGCGACCCCGGGTGCCCGACCTGGAATTCTGTCCGAGCGGTGATGCCGTAGTCGGCGAGCACGGCCGGTAGCGAATTGAACAAGGCTTTGGCCGGGCGCTTTTCGTACTGGTCGTCCGAGACACCGACAGCTTCCTCGACCGAGAGGACCGAGAGGAGAATGAGGGTGTCGTCAGGTCGGATGATTGGAACGAGCGAGGCGACTGCGCGGAGCGAGGACGGGAAGCCCTCCGGCCGCATGTCCATGGCCACCATCCACTTGGCTGGCCCGTCGTTGCAGGCGACGTCGTACGGCAGCGGCGCCTTGGCGATCATGGTGGGGAGCGGCGCCAACTTGGCGAGGGAGGCCGAGACCGAGCCGAGGAGCCACGATGAGATTCCGGACCGGCCGCGCGAGCCGAGCACCAGCAGATCGATGGGATCGTGGACAAAGCCGGGACGGACGCATTCGTCGCCGCCGGGACAGCGGGCAGCGTTGGCGCGGCTCCGCTCGGCGTAGTCGAGCAGAGCATTCTTGGGCTTGGACGAGATGATGACGTCGAGCACAGCGTCAAAGCCCGAATCGACAGCAGCATCGAGCGCTTCTCCGGCAAAGACCGCGTCATCGGCCTCGTCGCCCGTGAGGTTGGCGGTGGGATAGGGACGGCCGATGCCCGCCGCGTCCTTGAAGGCCACCAGGAAGTCAGCGTAGTCCTGCTCGTCGGCGAGCGGATGAACGTTGTCATGGGCAAGGCCTGTGGCCTGTAGAGCCTTGGCAACAAGCCCGTGCTTGTGGTGCAGCACCATGATGAGCGTCAGCCTGTCCGCGTCCTTGCGGAGGACCACCAGCGCCGACGAGAGCGCCGTCCGCGAGTGGGGCGAGGCGTCGAGGGCGATGGCCACGTGCCGCCCGCCGGTCTCGACCAGCTCCGGATCCCACCTGTACGATGATTGAGTGTTGTCGGCCATGATGCGCAAAGGTAGAGGAGTGGGGTATGGTATGGCAGGCGCAAGGGCAGAGGTAAGAGGAGGAACCCCCAGACTCACCGTGTCGCCTGACTGACCCACCACCACCAACCCGCGATGAAAGGAACAACGGCATGGGCCACCCAACCAACTGAATGAACCAACCAACATGTCAGACGGGCAGGCCCCACCCCCCCCCCCCCCACCCCACACACACGCCCCTACCCACTCCACTGTCTACCACTCAAGCACACCACACACACCACACTTCACACACTCCTCCCTCCCTCCTCCACACACAGCATGGCACGGTACCTCAGCATGCGCGAGGAGGCGTTCGTCATCTGGATGAACGATGTCCTTGGTGCCACACACCCCGAGGTCGGCGAGGTGGCCCGGGTCGCCCAGCTCGCGGACGGCCTCGTTCTTCCAGGCCTGGTGGAGGCTCTGGGCGTGGCCAAAGGCGTCCGGTTTCACCCGCCGCCGCTGGAGCCGCAAGCTGCTGACGAGAATCTGACACTGGCCCTGGAGGCGCTCTCGCGGGCGGGGCTCGACCACGGCCTCGACGCGGCTATGCTGGCCGAGGCCGAGACCAAGAGCCTGCTCTCGCTGCTCTGGCTTGTGGTGGCCAAGTTCCACGTGGGCGCTGGCATGGATGCTGACTTTTCCGCCTCACGGGCCACCGCCATCAAGGCCGTCACCTCGCGTCTGCTCAAGTGGGTCTCCGCCACCGCCGCACACATGGCCTCGCAGGGCGAGGCACCCGAGAAGGCCTCCAACTTTAGCTCTTGCTTCCAGAACGGCCGCCTTCTTGCCCTGCTGCTTGAGGCGACTGCCGCCCGCGATCCGGCGCTCGCTGCAGACATCTCACTGCAGCTCTACTCGTCGCCGGCGTCGCCGGACATTGTCGCCCAGCTCGCTGCAGTCTTTGACCGTGCAGAGGCCGCCCTCTCCATTCCGCAGGTCCTCGCACCGCACCCGACGCTGACTGATCCGGACCCATTTGCCATCATGACATACGTGGCATACTTTCGCAACCTGTGCGAAGCCTCGGCGTCGAGCCCATCGCCGCCGGCAGCCGCCGCAGCCGCCGCAGCCCGCCACCCGCCACGCTCGCTTGCCGCCAAGCTCGCAGCCCGCAAGGCCTCGCGGACTATGTCTGGCCGCACTATGTCTGGCGCTTCGATGGGCTCCGCCATCCGAGCCGCTCGCGAGCGCGACGCGCTCCAGCGCCGCGTTGCTGTCCTCGAGGCCGAGGTTGAGGACGCGCACGCTGCCGCCGCCAAAGCCCGCGCCCTCCTCGAGGCCTCCGAGGCCAAGGTCGCCGACCTCACCGACGCCCACCAGCACTCGGTACTTGACGACCAATACACAGGCACGTCATCCGCTCAGTCGCCTCGCGGTGCGGCGAGCAACGATGACTCGGTCTCCGCCATGCAGGACGAGCTGCAGGCCCTCACCGACCGTCTCCTCGCTGAGGCCGCCGCCGAAGCTGACCTGCAGAAGCAGCTCGCCGCCGCTCGCGAGCACATGACCTCGTCTGAGCGCGAGATGGCCGACCTGGCGTCAGCTAATTCGGAGCTCCGGTCCGCCCTCGAGGCTTCGCACCAGCGCCGCGACGCCGTCATGGCCGAGCTCGCCGCTTACCGCAATCGCGCCGAAAAGCACCTCGCATCCAAGGCCACCCTCAAGATGCAGCTCTTCACCGCAAAGTCACGCCTTGCAAAGGCCGATGAGCAGCTCGCGGCCTCCAAGGCCCTTCTCAAGAAGGCTGAAAAGACTGCTTCAAAGACAACCAAGAAGTACGAGAAGCTCAAGGACAAGAACGAGAAGCTCTTTGATCGCCTGGGCATGGTCAAGGAGGCGGCAGAAGCCGAGCGCAAAAAGTACCGCCGTGCACAGCTCGCCCTCTACGTCGAAGACTGCAAGCGCGCAGACTACGTTCTCGCCGATGTCCTCGCCCGCCAGCGCCTTGACGAGCTCGCAGCCTCGGCCGCGTGCAGTTGAACTGCGCCTGCCGGCCAGCCATGCGTGTCGCTGCCCGACAAAGACTGTCCGCACTTTCGCCGGCTTTGACCGCGACAACCATCAATAACAGCCCAAGCCGCCGCACCACCAACGCCCACCCGCACCCCTCCCAACCATCGCCCCTCTCACCCACCGCCTCTCTCACCCTCCCCTTCCACCCACCATCTCATCATACAACCCCCACCACCCCTGGTCGTCTCGGTATGGGTCCTGAGTGCAGGTCCAGACCGGCCAGCCCTGCCATGGGCGCCATGGAACAGGACGAGCCAAACGGCGTCACTCCCGCCTGGTGGTCTGGAGACGATACCCAATGCCAGCGGTGGAAGGTGAGTCGACAGACGCACTGTGTGGTAGTGCTCTTTGCGCTGGTCCTGCTCTTGACAACCATGCCTAGCTGTTGCACCGGCAAGTATGTGGTCTCCTACCACGGTGGGCCGGTGGCCATCGTGGCTGAGGCCGAGCTGCCGATCGTGGTCCCACCCACCGTCGCCGGCTCGGTCACCTACGTTGAAGTCCGCGTCCAGTTCATGCACACTCAGCTCGTAGATCTGCAGTCGTGCAGTCTTGTTGCGCCCATCGGCACATCCGTCGCCTTGCTTATCGGCATCGACCTCCCGCCCCTCCGCTGGGACGTCCACTTTGACGACGGCGCCTCGGTCTTTGTCCTCCAGCAGGCGCAGGCTGTCTTCCGCGATGGCGTCCGCCGCAAGCCGACGTCGGCGCTCTCGTCGCTCCGCGGCTCGCTTGCTGCTGGTACTTGGCGTCTCAAGTGCGAGGATACTCGAATCTCGGCCTACCACGGCTTCCTCTACAACGCCACACTCATCCTCTCGACCTCGCCCGCCAGCTGCGGCGACGGCGAGTGGTTCTCAGACTCGGAAGCGTGCGACGACGGCAACACCTCCGATGGTGATGGCTGCTCCTCGACATGCTCGCTTGAGCCGGGCTTTTCGTGCTCCAACCAAGATCCGGCCGCGCCTACGCTCTGCACGCCGGTCCCTTGTGGCGACGGAACCTGGGTCCCCGACGTCGAAGAGTGTGACGACGGGAACACTATGAGCGGCGACGGTTGCTCGTCAGCCTGCAAGCTCGAGCACGGGTACGCCTGCAACCACTCTAGTTGCCGCCCGATCGTCTGTGGCGACTCGATCGTGGACGCACCGACCGAGCTGTGCGACGACGGCAACGCCGTCGGCGGCGACGGCTGCTCAGCCGCGTGCTCGCTCGAGGCGAGCTACACCTGCGACACACCCGGTGAAGCCTGCAATCCGCTTGTGTGCGGTAACGGCATTGTCCAGCCACCAGAGACCTGCGACGACGGGAACGTGCTCGGCAACGACGGCTGTGCGAGCGACTGCACCATCCCGCCCACTTGTCTAGGCGAGGCAACGTTCACCGAGAGCCGCGGCATTGTTCGCTCGCAATATGCTTCCCAGGCCTACACCGCACCGTTGGAGTGCGTGACGTACGTTCGGCCAACAGTCGCCGCTCGCGCTTTTGTCGTCTCGATTGTTTGGTTCCGTCTCCGTCCGGGCACCCTCGACCTCATTCGCATCTACGACGTGGCAACCACGCCGTTTAAGCTCCTCAAGACTGTCACCGCAGACTCGGCAGCAGCTACGCTCGCTCCTGTTGTTGTCGAGGCTTCGTCGTTTGCCATCGAGTTTGTTGCTGCCAATGTGCCCGGCGGGTCTGCACCGTCCCTCGACAGTTCGCTGTATTATGGCTTTGTTCTCGAGTACTACGCGCTGCCGCAGCTCCAACCGCCGAGCGGCTTTGCCATCACACTCGAGCCTGTGTTGCCGCCGCCGGCTGCCCAGCACTTGCGCTCAACCTCGGGCCTTGTCGCCAATGTCAACTTGCTCTGCAACCCAGAGTGCGTCTTCTACCTTCCGTTCACCAACACTATCTCGCTCTACCTCCACCGGCTGTCGTGGCCGCCGGGGTCAGGCGCGTCGCTTGTTGTCGAGGCGTCCAATGGCACCGTTGTGGCGCGCATCGACGCACCTGATGCCAGCACCGCCACGGCGCTGGGCTACTCGGCCGGACGGTCGGTCGAGATTGCCGCCAACTCCAGCTCGAGTGAATGGGCCATGTTCGTGCGCCACGGTGTGCTCGGCGCTGCCAGCCTCCCGTTCCCGGTCGAGGTGCAAGCGCCAACTGGCTTGACGAGTGCACAGGTTGTGGTGCGATTTTCATCACCGCCGCCGCCGCCGGGTTGGGAGCTCCCTCATTTTGAGATAGTGTACAGCGCGGACTCGACGTGCTTGCCAGGCGTGGAGATGGCCGCGGCCAGCAGTGCGAGAGCGCAGATTGTGGTCGGCCCCTCGCCGCAACTCTTCTCATACGCATCTTTGCTCGCACCACTCATGCGCTGTGTGTGGGGCTTTCCCACCCCGCTGCTCGCTCCGCATGGATATACCCAGCGCCTGGTCGTCGACTATGTGGACTTGCCGGACCCGCAGGATTCGCTCCAGATTTCTGCCGATGACGTCGTGAGTGGCGCAGCGAGTGTTCCTCTCGCGGTGGCGCGTATTTCTGCAGCATCTTTGCTCTCCTACGGCTCGCTCCCTGTGGCCACGACATCCTCGCTTGAGTTTACCGTCACGACTGGCAAGGCGCTAGTCGAACTGGAAACCTCAGAGTTTTGGCCATCAAACGGGTTCGCGGTCACCTCGTCGTGGGGCTGCGGCTTACCGCTCTACTCGGCCGGCCACATTAACCGTCCAAGTGCCGCGGCTGGCTACCTCTCGGTCGACGCATCGCATGCTATCTACGCAGGCTACAGCTACTCGACAGCGCACTGCGCGTGGCGAGTGGATGGCCCCAGCCACGAAGCAGGCCGGGCGCCGGTGCTAATCAACATCATGGCGCTGGCGCTTTCCGACTCATCGGATGTGATCCTCATTCTCAACGGAACGTCAGACGCCTCATCGCCACAGCTTGGCTCACTTGTCGGTAACGCTGTCCTGCTAGCCGACAGCGGCTTTGCAGCGCTCAACGAGTTGCGGTGGGCAGCCGGTCTGGGCAGGCTTTCATCTGCGTCGCTGGCGGCGTCGATGGGCCAGATGTACGTTCCGTCTGGCCAGTCGTACGTCTCGTTTGTGCCTGGCTCGGGTTCGGCCGACCCGCCCACGCTTCCGCCACTAGTCAATCCGCTCGATGCCGAGGCCGGCACCTCTCGCAATGGCTTCCTTGCCTCGTACCAGGCTGGCTCGTGCATTGCAAAAGCAGTTCTTGTCGGCGCCCAGGGCATTGTTGCTGACGGCTCGGGCGCTTCGCTCGCGCCTGTTATCCTCGATGTTTTTGAGCGCGACGCGCTAGCGGCTGTCTCGCTCGACGCGCTGCACGCGGCCTACGCACCCATGGTTGGTCAGACTCAGGCGACGTTGTGCCACTGGCGGCTCTCGCCGCCGACTGTGCCGCAGTTCCGCTACATCACGCTTCGAATTTCCAAGTTGGCGCTTGCAGAAGGTGCAAGTCTTGCCGTCAAGGTTGGCGGTGAGATCCTCGTCTACTTTGACGCACGGTCGACGCGCTCGCTCTCGGCGCTACAGCTGGCGTCACCGCTGGCAACATCTGATGTGGCGCTTCCCGAGCACGATGCGCTCTTTGGCCCTGCTGCACTCTTGCTCCCGGCGTCGTCGGCGCAGCCGCGAGTGGTCTTTGCTGTCGACAACTCGACCAAGACTAAGAGCGGCTCAGTGGCACACGTGCTCGAGCTCGTTACCATGGCCTCCGAGCTGGAGCTCGAATGGTCTGTTCCGCGTGGCGCAAACTCGCCCTCGCACATGCTCGCCGGCTATCAGGTCGGCTACACTTGCCCGCCTGGTGCGGTGCAGGCGTCGGCCATCTCGACCGGGTGCGCCTTTTGCGAGCCGGGCATGTACTTGTCGACTTTGTCCGGCGAATGTACCACGTGTGAGACTGGAACGTTCTCGCTCGTCCATGGAGCGCATGCCGAATGCTGGACGTGCCCGACGGAAATCCTGTCGTTACCGTCGGCGGCGGCCGCAGACGAGCTCCCGGAGCGACTGGTAGTCTCCAACACGACGGTTGCCACCTCTGTTCTTCTGCCACTCTGCATGCCGTCGTCGTTCCCTGTGGCGGCCACACCTTCAGCGAGCTCCTCGCTCTCCATGCTTGTGGTCGGCCTCATCGGCATCGGTCTTGGCCTCGTGTTTATGGTTTTGGTCGGTGCAGCATGCTTCACGGTCTGGCGGCGGCGGTCGGCATCCAAGATTGATCCCGAGTCGATGCTGGTGGGGCGGGTCGGTTACGAGATCACCTACGACGAGATCACGTTTGACAAGGCGATTGGCACCGGGTCGTACGGTGAGGTGTGGCGCGGGCTCTGGCGTGGAACCGACGTGGCCATCAAGCGCATCCACAACCGGGACTTTTCGGCCGAGACGCTGGAAGAGTTCCGGCGCGAGGCCAAGATGATGTGTGATTTGCGACATCCTAACGTAGTGCTCTTTATGGGCGCGTGCACACAGCTGCCAAACTTGGTCATGGTCACCGAGTACCTCGAGCGCGGCAACCTGTTCAGTATTCTCCACGATGCAGAGGTTGAGCTCCCGTACGGGCTCCGAGTTCGCATGCTTCTCGGTGCGGCGTCGGGCATCAACTTTCTGCACTCGGCCACACCGCCTATCCTGCACAACGACCTCAAGTCGCTCAATTTGCTAGTGACAACCGACTGGAACGTCAAGGTCGCCGACTTTGGACTCACCTGTATCAAGGATGATCTGGCCGACGACGCTGACATCGGAACAGCGTTCTGGACAGCACCCGAAGTGCTCAACGGGTTAGGCTCGTCGACAGCCTCGGATGTGTACTCGTTTGGCATCATCATGTGGGAGGTGCTCACACGCGAGACGCTCTACGACGGCGTCAACCCGAACGCGGTCATGCTCAAGGTGTCAACAGGCGAGCTGCGGCCGCACGTGGCTGACCTGGCTAATGAGAGCAAGCTGCGGACGGTGTGGCGGTCGCTCATGGTCTCGGCGTGGCAGCAGGAGCCGGAAAGCCGGCCTACCTTTGGTGCCATTGTGTCGGAACTCAAGGCGCTTGCGGTCCGGGCGGAGAGCGTGACGGCGACGTCTGCTGAGCACGCGTCGGGCGTGGCGTCCGAAGACGGCCTCCTCTCGGCCAACGGACCGGCGAGCGAGAACGAGATCGGGGCCATGGACGTCGGCCAGCCTGGGCTTTCGGCGGCGGCGGCCCGCGCGGCAAGGTCTCGTTCATCTTTGCCGACATCAAGGACATGGCGGCTCTGTGGGACGAGACGCCGGCGGCGGCACGCGACGCGATCGAAATGTTCAACACGCTTGTCGACGAGATGCTCGAGGAGCTCTCTGGGTACCGGGTCGAGAGCCGCGAGGGCGCGTTTGTGGTCAGCTTTTCGTCATCTGACCAAGCCATGCTCTTTGCCACCTCGCTCATGCTCAAGCTCCACAACGAAGACCGGGTCTGGCCGCCAGCGCTGCAGATGCTGGACGTGACCATGCCTGGTGCTGGCGGCGGGAGCGACGTGGTCATCATGCGCGGCCTCCGACTCGCCATTGGCATCCACACCGGAGTGCCGTCGGCGGAGATTAATCCTGTAACCAACCGCATGGTGTACACGGGGCCCGTGGTGCGCAAGGCAACGCTTGTGGCGGCCATGGCGGTCGGCGGACAGGTTGTAGTCTCCGAGGCTGCGCTTCGTGACATCAAGGCCTCGCCGTCGTCGCCGCCGTTTGCTGAGCAATCTTTGGGCCTCTGCCTCTTGCCGGGCTTTGACGAACCGGAGACGGTGACGGCGGTACTGCCACCGCAGCTCGCGGCGCGGCTGACGATGCTCAAAAAGGCGACTGGTCGGAGCTTTGCCACTGCAACGGACAAGTACGTTTGGCAGTCATTCGGGATGGAGCCCGACCCGCATGTCGACTCGATGGAGGGCCAGTCGACGTGGGAGCGGGTCAAGGACCGCTACGTGCTCTCGTCGATGTACCGGGTGCGGTACGAGGACGTCGAGATCGTCGAGCGTTGCGGGATGGGCACCTACGGTGAGCTGTACCGTTGCAGGTACCGCGGTGAAGAGGTGGCCATGAAGCGGCTGCTGCGCAAGAAGCTACCCGAAGCACTGCTGCTTGACTTCAAGTGCGAAGTCATCATCACAGCACAGCTGAACCACCCCAACATTGTGACGTTCCTTGGCGCGTGCACGTTCCCGTACCTCTGCCTCGTCACCGAGTTCTGCACTCACGGCTCGGTTCACTCCAAGCTGACGGATCCGTCGGTGCGGTTTGATTGGCCGCGGCGGGTGAAGATTGCGCACGACATTGCAAAAGGCATGCACTACCTGCACTCACTGGACATGCCGATTATGCACCGTGACCTCAAGACGCCCAATGTACTGCTCGACTCGACGTGGACGGCCAAGCTCTGTGACTTTGGCCTTGCGCGCATCAAGTCCTCACACTCGACCATGACCAAGTGCGGAACGATTGCCTGGACGGCGCCCGAGGTGCTGACCGGCAAGCGGTACTCGCTCAAAGCCGATGTGTACTCGTTCGGCCTCGTCCTGTGGGAGTTGGTCACAGCCAAGTTTCCGTACATCGAGCTCAAGGGCACGCCAACTGTCAAGATTGTCAAGATGATTCTCAACGGGCACAGGCCCAATGTCTCGCGCGAGTGGCCCAAGGGCTACGTGGCGCTCATGAAGCGGTGCTGGTCTGACCAGCCAAAGTCTCGCCCGACCTTCTCCGAGCTTTTGGTCGAGCTTACTGCCATGATAGACAACTTTACCGCCGGTCAGTCGTCAGCGGCCTCTGCCACCGCCGCTGCGTTGGCCCCGGCGTCGTCGACATCCATGGTGCCCGTGGCTCCGCGAGCGTCGCCAACGCCGGGCGCCGGTGCCTCTTCAACAGCGCCTCCTCCTGCAAAGCCGGGCGTTCCCATCACCAAGGAGCCTCAAGAGCGGCCAAAGACACCGGTAATGCCTGGCACCCCGCCGCCTTCCAGTCCCCCATTGTCCTCCCCCGTTGGTCCTTTACCTGCGGCGCCTATCTCGGCGCCTGGCCCGTCCAACTCGCAACAGGGCCACGGCATCAGTTGGAGGGCTTCGACCGCCTCGCTTGGTGCTAGCGGCGCGTCGATCGCCAGCCCGACGAGTCCGGTGAATCGATTGGGCTCCGAGTCGTCGTCGACCGCAAGGAGCTGGCGGAGTTGAGAACTGCAACCATGGCGCCGGCGCTGCCTCCGAGCTCGAGCAAGGACAAGTCCAAGGACAAGTCCAAGTCCAAGGCCAAGTCCAAGTCGCACAAGCGTAAGCACCGTCACAAGCGGTCGCACCGGTCACGGCACAAGTCAAAGTCCAAGCGCAAGTCAAAGTCCAAGACAAAGTCAAAGTCAAAGTCGAAGGCCAAGCTGGACGAGTTGATCACCACCGGTGACTCTGCGATTGCCACCGATGATGACTCGCTCTCGTCCACGTCGTCATCGTCCGTCTCGTCGCCATCGTCGTCAACATCATCGCTCGACGAGAACGACTCGGGTGAGAGCTCGGACAAGCATGTACGTCAATCACGGTCAAAGCACAAGTACAAGCGCCGCTCGCACCGCCGCCGTTCGCGGCACCACCACAAGTCGCGCCGTTCGCGGCGGCGGCGACGCTCGACGTCGCCGTCCTCACCTCCATCGTCATCCTCGCCATCGTCTTCTTCGTCAGCTGCGCCGGCTATGGCCACGCCCGCTGCTTCCAGTACGTTTGGGGTGGATCAGGTCGCGCCGCAGCCGCAGCCGCAACCAGAGTCGCAACCAGAGTCGTAGCCAGAGTCGTAGCCAGAATCGCGTGTGCCTGGTCCGCTGCCGCAGCAGCGCGAGTGGTTGTAAATGTGGCAACGCCGCACGGACAGCGCAGCGCCTCTCTCCCCAAACCCGACCCCAAGCCAAGCCAAGCCAAGCCAAGCCAACTCATGAGCGAGGCCGAGGAGCTGGCCATGGACGCCGTGTCGCAGGTCATCTGCGACGCCCTCTCCACGGCAGAACACGTCGCCCTCGCCGCCGCCATGCGCGCCGGTACCGCTCCTGTCCTCGCCGCCCTCGCCGCCTTTTCCTCCTCTCGCGATGCGGATGCCCTTGTTGCCGACCTGCGTGTTGCGTTGGCTCACCCGCAAGAGTGCTCGGACAAGGCCGCCGCTGCCCTTCCCGCCGTGGGCGAGGCCGATGGCGCAGAGAGTGTGGAGAACGCTGCGCCCGATGCCGCCGCACTCCGACTGCTCGTCCCGGCCATCCGTGGCCACACGGCGGAAGCTGCAGCCGCAGCTGCGGGCTGTGATGACGGTGAGGTCACGCCATGGGTCACCATTGGCCTCGTTGTCAGTGCTGCTTCGGATGTTCACGTTCTGGCCCATGTGGCTGCCGTGCTTGCCGGCGTCCGCCTCGCGGGGCATCCGGTCGGCTCGCCGTTCCGGGTCGTGGTGGTGGCCGCAGCGGATAAGCCGGTCGTCCGCACTCTTACAGGGCTCACCATCCTGGCGGATGCAGTGCTGACCGACGTACCGCCGCTCGACGCCATCATTGTTGTCCCAGTCTGGGCCAGCGACGGTCGTGGCATGCTTCAATCTGCGGCAGAGAGCGTGGAGGCCCTTGGCCCAGCCGCTTGCGAGTGGCTCGCTGCTCGTGCACAGGTCGTCCAGTTCACGATCGGCCTCCATCGCGCTCTGGGATTGGGCCCTTCTGCTGAGCCTGCGGTGTTTGCCCAGTTTGTGGTCCGCGGCGGCTCGCCCGAGCCGTCGATGCCGCTTGCTCAGGCTCTTGGCAGGCTCGCTGCCCACTGGCTCGGCGGCTCGGGCACGCTGCCGGACGTGAACGCGATTTCGTACACTCCACCGGCGAGCTGGACATGACGTCACTTGGAACTTTACTCGCGACCCATGGCGCGACACTCGACCAATGCGTATGCTAGTCGCTCGCGGGCGACCTCGTAGCTGGACCAAGGCGGGAGGTAGAGCATGAACCAGCAGGTCGATGCTTGTGGCAAGACAGTGTCTGGCTCAGTACCTGGTGGGACCACAAGCCTACGTAGTGTCAGGTGCTTCTCCGCCATCTCGCACGGCGAGAGCCGCCTCCGGCCCCAGACAAACTGGACAAAAGCGGCGCGGAGGTCTGCGTCAAACGAAGTCAGCGCCTGCCAGGTGTACTCGACTTCGGGCGAGGTCTCGTCGAGCGGGGCGACAACAAGTGCGGCCTCGCGCAGCTGCTCCAGATCGAGCTCGCGGTGGCCGGAGACTGCCAGCTCGAGCTCATCGGGCAGCATGATTCTGAGAACACTCGGCGGGACAATGGCTTCCAGTCCATCGCGCACCGCCGCCTCGGCTGCTGACGTTGCCGCCAGAAGTGCATTCGCAGCCGCGTCGGCGGCGCTGACATCGTCGCCATGGTTCGCCGCAAGCGACATCGCCACCAGGCTGTCTTGCGCCGCCAGCACCCCGACGCCGCCGGCCTCGCGCGAGTATGTCAAGGCACGCCACACCCGTAGCGGAAGGTCGAGTTCGAGAAGACCCGGCGATCGCACACAGTAGCCCATGAGCATGCCGAGCGCGCGCAGCATCTGCTTCTGCGACACACTCGGCTCACCCGAGACAAACACCCAGTCACTGCGGCTCTCGCCCACGTTGAGCGCCTGGTTCGGCGACGGCTCCAGAACAATGGCCCGGAGGCCTGTGGCAAAAAGCGAAAGAGCCTCACGGAACGGCCCGCCAGCGTCAGCAGCAGGGAGCCCCCGAAAGGCCACCTTCCACGGCCGCGACTGGGTCCGCAGCTCAGCCGCAGATCGGGCCGTCACGTGCGCCGTGAGCTGCGACGCGACGAGCGCTGCAGCGTCACCGCCCCCACTCAGCCCGACATCGAGCTCGATGGTCTCGACCGGCGCCGGTGCACCCGTCTTGACCTCGCCCGCCGTCCGCGCCAGCTCTTCGTCGGCAAACACACGCCTCACCTGTGGATGCACCAGGCCACGCAGAGCGGAGACCATGCTCCCAAGCGCGCTCGGTCTGGCGTCTAACGTGCTTAGCGAGAGCGCAGCCGAGACGCACCACTGCAGGCCAAAAGTGGCCGCGTCCGGCAAGGTCGCCTCCAGCCCACCCCGCATGCTACCGCGAAGCGCAAGCGTGACTGGTGCGTCCGCCATCGCAACAAGTAGCGAGCCACGGGTGGCAACCTTGACCACCGTGGAGCTGGTGAAGGAGACCACAGCCGTCGGTGGCAACCCGCTCAATACCGCGCTCGCAAACGCCTCGCTAGGGCTGGTTTGCTCATCGTGCTCTAGCACGTACAGCTCGACAGACGCGGCCTCGCCGCCGCGCGGCGGTCCGCAGTACACCACCGACACCTCAGTGACCTCCTCGAGCTCTGGTGGGAGCGTCGCCACCAGCGATGCTGATGGGTCGACGAGTCCGTAGCTCACTGTGGCGCTGGCGCCCAGTCCGGTTACAGCCAGCGGTACCACGGCCTCAGCAGCTCCGCCAACCTCCCTCTCGCCCTCACCACCGTGGACCAAGGCGCTCACACGCGCCGCCCAATCCGTAAACGCGTCCTGTGGCTCTGCTTCGTCGTAGCCGTAAGCCATCAGCGTTTGTAGGGCCAACAGCGGGAACGCGACCTCGTTCGGCGAGCCAGAGCCGACAGCAGTCGTCCACAGTGCAGCCTCGGTGAAGATGCCAGCCTTTGACGGCTTGCCCATCAGCGGCGGAAGGTGGCCAGTCTGGTCGACATCCCATGGCGAGAGAGCTATGGCCTCGATCTCGCTGGCCAGCTCCTTCCAGCCCTGCGTGCGTTCGGGGAGGTGGTCACGTCGGCCGCCAGCGCACAAATGGCGCGGCCGGCGAGTGGCGCCAATCGGTACGCGACCGCCACGCTCGCCCACAGCCATCGCGAGACAGTTGCGGCAAGCTGCGGCTGCCTCGCCAGCTCGAAGCGGGTGGCTGCGCAGTCGAGCGCACCCAGGAGCAGGTGGAGCGACGGCTGCGAGAGCCACGCGGCGTCGAGCGAGAGCTCGTCGGGGCGCAGTCCAACAGCACACACCGCTGTCTGAGCCGCGTCGTTCATCCGAAGCCACGGATCCGCATGTGGCACTACAAAGCTCCCCATTGCGCCAGGCGTGCCCTCGAATCGGGCGTATGCCTCACGGGCTGACCGGCTCGCAAAGACCGCGCCCGCGACCACACCGGCACCGGGCTGATCGCGGAAAGTGATCAGCCAGCCAGCAACTTCGCCGTCGCGATGGGTGCTGGTGGACGCTAGCGAGGAGAGCGGGGTGCGAAGGACCGGGCTGGCGGACACCGAATGCTTCCAAACGTCCAGTGGAGTGAGCCGGCATGCGGTGCTGCCAGACTCCAGACTCACACTCACGCGGTGAGACTGGGAAGAGAGGCTCGCGACGAGTGCGTGTGCCACAAGGCGGCCGTTGTGCGCAACAGCGACTACGGTTGTGTCTGGCTGGTTGGCGATGCCGAGCTCGGTAAGGCTCTCAGCCCGGTGCACTACGCCGACGTGGACCACATCGTCGCAAGTCATCTCGACCACAAATGTGGGGTCTTGATCTGTCGCTGCCTGTGAGACCGCCCCGACATCGTGAGCGATGCCAATGGTAACCTGGTGGGTGCCATCGAGTACCTCAACGCGGCACGCATCACAGTCGGCGCCAAAGCCAATACTTGAAATTGCATTGCCGTGGCTACCGCCCGCAGGCAGCCACAGCGGCTCGCTGGTGGACACATCGGCTCCCGGTACTACCGTTGCGCCCGGCAATGATGATCGGCTGGCTCTGGGCGTCCGCACCGACGTGGCGGCGTCGAACCACGCCGCAGCGCGAGTCAGAGCGAGGTTGAGCAGAGAGCTGCGCAGGCGCGGCACATGTTCGGCAAGGCGCCCGAGCGCCGCAGTCATCGGTGGCAGCTCTCCGGCCCAAGAGTGCTGGCCCTCGACATCGGCTACTGCAAGCAGCAAGTCGAGTACAGGTACGACAAGATCATGCGCATCAGTGGTGGCGATAGCGCCTCTGGCGACCGCCGCCGCGAGCTCGTTGAGTGTCGACACTAGGCCTGTCCGAGCCCGCTGCACTCCGAGCGCAAACCGCAGAACGGCAGCCGCACGCCCAGTGGCATCGAGACTCGCCATGGGTGCGTGGAGATCAGCAGTCGCATTGGCCGTCACATCGCGCAGCTGGCCATGGCTGTGATTCGAGGAGAGCGCCGCCAGCGAGTCATACTCGCGGCTAGAGAGCTCCGAAATCGCTTGTTCAGGAACGGCTCGTGGCTCAAGTACGGCCGGGATGGAATGTTGGCCGGTGGCACTCAAGCCCGTGCTGAACGCGAGCAGTTGGGCATGGTCGGCTTTGGCAACCACAATGAGCGGCATGTCGCCTCCAAGCGCATGGTGGGGCGAAGCGTCGGGAGAGCTGAGGATAAGGCCGAGAGGGCGGTGAGCGGCGGCGGCAGCTTGGACCGCCAGTTCGGCGATGGTGGCCTCATCGCTCGCTAGCGGGGCGAGCCAGAACGATGGCACACTGCAGTCTGTTGTCGCCGGCTCCTGGGCCATTGCCGCAACTGGAAGAAGCCAGACAGTCCGCTTGCTGACCAGCGCCTGCTGCAAGGTTGCGGTCGACGGGGAGCTTCCAAGTGACGCTGACGGATCGTCGGCAAGGAGTGAGCCTGTGATCTCACACGGCCCTGTAATGAGTGAACCGACGTCCAAGATGACTCCGACGCCGTCGGCATCCACAGACGGGAGACCGTCAGGGCAGGCGGCGATGGCTGAGAGGAAGAACGTTCGCAGGCCGTCGTCGTCTGATCGCGATGAAGACGACTTGGTCGGAGGTGGGGTGGCAGTTGCCAGGATTGAAGCTCGTAGAAACGAGAGCACGTCGATCCGGCCCGAGTCTGGCCGACGGCATGCCGCAATGTAGCTCGCAAACAACGGCGACGAGACCGGAAGGCCAGCAGCCGCAAAGTCGGTGACATCCAGAAGCCCGTCGTTGTCTGTGTCCAGCTCGCGGAACCGGGCCCAACCGCGCTCGAGGTGGTCGCGAGTGAGTCCGGCGCTTCGGGCGTCAGCCTCGAGGCCAGCAACTTCGTTGGCGACAAAGCGCCGCGAGCCTAGCGAGATCTTGACTGAGAGCCCACCGGGAAGGTGTCGGGCAGTAGCTAGCTCGTCCAGCGCACCGACTAGCTCGCTGTGGGGCACTTCCCGGAGGAGCGGTGAGGGAAGGGCGGCCAGACGCGCGAGCTGCTCGATGGCCAGGGGGCTTGCGGCGACATGGCGGGGAACTAGCCAGGTGGTGACGGCGACCAGAGCTGCGACGCCGTCGGGGTCGCCTCCCACGACGAGCGGCGACAATGCTAACGCAGCGGCAAGCGCTGTCAGCAACTCGTGGTCAAGGCCGTCCAGTTGCGCAGGCCGGTGGGCCGATAGTACCGAGGTGAGCGCGTGCTGGACGTGGACAACGTCGCCGTCGTCAGTGAGCAGCGCAATCGTGTCGGTTCCCAGACTTGCAGTCGCGACAAAGCCAAGCGAGACGCCGTGGACAGCCACTCCGCGTATTTTGGTGGTTAGAGGAGAGCCCGGTGCTAGCAGTGCAGCGTCGCGGGGAGGTGGCGGCATGAGGCCCGTGAACACAGCACTGGCAGATGCTCCACCGAGTGCGCGCACGGCAGCAGCCGTAAAAGCGGTGCGACTCTCGGGTGGTGCACTGGGCGAGATGCACCATTGAAAGGTCCGCAGCCGCGACGGGATCATTGGGGCCGACCATCGGGAGTCGTCAAATAGAGCGTCTGCGGCAAAAGAAACGAGGTTGGTGTCATGGAATGCAAGAGATAGCAGCGCGCTGACAATGACGTCGGCCTCTTCAGGCGCGACGTCGGTGGCGGCTGAGTCGAGCAACTCTCGGCTGGCCGCTGCCGGTAGAGCATCCAGTACGACACGGCGAGCGAGGGGGCTCGCAATTGCTATCAGGACCAGGCATGTGGCAGCGGTAAGGCCGCAGACGACATTGTCGACTAGTGTGGTGAGAGCGGGCGCCGACTCGCGGGCCAGCGCACGCAGCGTCGGCCAGAGCAGCACGTGAGTCAAACGCGGAGCAAGAGCGAGGCCCAGGAGCCAGTGGAGGAGCTCCGGTCCGAGCGGGTCGTGGCAGACGTCAACTAGATGGGCGACAAGGGAAGCGTCGACGTCACTGAGGCTGGAATCGAGTCGGACAACCAAAGCGTCAATGACAACTGCGGCCACGCAAGGAAGAGCACGGAGGAGCGGGCGAGCAAGCGAAAGCGGCAGCGAGTCGATTTCGGTAGCCAGCAACGGTGCGAGCTCGCAGCAGAAGTGGGCGTGGTCGGAGAGGACGGTGGCAGCGGCACGGAGGGTGTCGAGGTCTGCGTCGGACGGATGTGGCCCAAGGCCGGCGACAACGTCAAGGAGGATCGTAGGGGAGACCGGGAGGTCAGGCGCTTGCCAGTGCTGGGGGACGAGGGTGCAGAGGGTACGCGCGGCGTGACGGGTTGGTCGGTCAGCGTAGTGGATGGCGCGAACGAGATTGGCGACGCTGCGGGCAAAGGCCAACGAGGGGGAGGTCGGCCGGCCAGCGAGGTGCCAAGAGGCGTGGAGAGCGAGCGTGAGATGAGGTGAAGCAAGGATGATGGACGCCTGCGAGGCCGAGGCAAGCAGGGTGCGGAGTTCGGCAGCAAAGCCGTGTGGCAACAGCGGAATGTGGGTGGGGCTGGAGGCGACGCCAGCCCGCAGCGCCGGGACGGCAAGCATTGGCGCAAAAACAGTGCAGGCGTGCGAGAGAGCCGGCGATACAAGCAGGGCTGAGAGTGCAGTCGCGGTGTGGTTGATGACCGTCAACGCCATGTCAGGAAGAAGCGAGTCGTGCAGGAGAGAGGCAAATTCGAGAACGCGGCCGACGGCATCGAGGTCTGGCGACGTGAGGGCGCGAGGCAGGACGGCGAGCACAACCGCAGCAAAGGCCGGCGCAATTATACCAGAGCGCGGCAGTGCGGTGATAAGGATGCGGAGGACGGTGGCCGGTGTGAGGCTTTGAAGAGCCGACGACGTGGCGAGGAGCGCGCGGGCGCAGCCTGCGACCATTGGTGGGAGAGGGGCAACAGATGATGCCGGCCCGACTGCAAGAGCGGCGAGCACTTTGCCGAGAGCAGCAGCCTGGTCGGCCGGCTCGGGTACGAGCGCGTGCCAGTTGGCGGCATAAAGTGCGGCAACCGGGCCCGGAAAGTGCGGTGCAAGAGTGACCAGGTGGCCGGCGAGTGCTGCAGTCGTCTCGGGATCGGCTAGCGGGAGCACGTGGTGCCAGACCAGCCAAAGCGGCGCCGGCGAGGGGAAGGTTGGGCGCAGAGCCGGCTTAGGACGTGAAGAAGGAAGGCGGCCCGGTCCGGTGAGGGTGGTGCGGCTGGAACGTGGGTGAGGAGCGCAGCAAGGCTTGCGATGGGTGTGTCTGCAGGCGCGGCGTAGTAGCTGGCAAACGGCGACGGGGCGATGGCACTTTCAAAGAGGAAGGCGTCGAGAGCACGGTCATAGAAAAGCGGTGGTGGGGTGTGTGGTCCGAGTGCGTGGGGACGCCAAGCATGTCGCCGGACGCAGTGTCGAGCGCGAGAAGGTCACGGTGAGGAGGCGGAGTGAGAGCAAAGGCGAGCGCGGGGCTGGGCGAGTCGAGAAGAGACGAGCCCGGAGGAAGGGCGACGGCGGTGCGCGAGGTGAGAGAAGCAGTGGCGCGATCTGACAACGCATCGGCGATGGCAACGGTGTGAAGGACCGAAGAGGTGCCCCGCGCAAAGGTGGCGGTAGTGGCGACGAGGAGCGTTGGGGGAGCTTTCGGATGGACGAGGGCGGCGATGGTGAGTGCAGCATTGGGGCAAGGGATAAGCTCGGTGAGAAGGTGCGAGAGATGAGGTAGGTGCTCGGCAGGCGCACGAGGGTTAAGAACAAAGGCCAGCATGACCTCGGAGCCGCAAGCAACAATGAGTACAGTGTCATCGCACAAGACTGCTATCGACGACGGCGGATGGGCTTCGTCGGGGAGGTCAAGTTGTTGCGAGGTGAGCGTGACTGAAGATACCTTGCAGAGCGTGAGCAGCTCGCCGGAGGGGAGGAGGACAAAGTTGGCAGACGCGCCCGAGGCGAGCAGCGCCGACGACGAGGGACCCGGCAGTGTACACGCACCCGGAAGCGGGTAGCGTGGCAGGTAGGAGGTAGCAACAAGCTCACGAGAAGCGGTAGCGGCACCTGTGCGGACTGCATCTAGTTGGCTGTCTGAGAGCGCGGCCGGTGTGTCGAGGGCGAGCGAGATGGCGCAGAGCAGCGTGTCGGTCGAGGGGGCGGCGCGGGCCAGCGCGACAGCGGCATCGAGTGCAGCCGGGGACGGGTGGGCAACAACAAGCGACGAGAGAACCGTGACGGCGTGAGCGGCCAGGCCATCGCGGACGAGGAGAACACCGGGCGGTAGAGCGGAGAGGGCGGCGGTAACAGAGGCGGCGGCTGCAGGCAGATGGTCGGGCGCCGCAGCATGGAGCAGCGGCAGCAGAGCGGCCAGAATGGCCGAGGCGGCACCGGCCGCCGGATCGCCCTCTGTCTCGCCATCCGCGCTGCCTGTGCCACCAGCACTTGGAGCGTGGGGAAGAGGATGCAGCAGTGGCGGCAGAGGGGGTGGCGGTGGTCGTAGGGTAAGAGGCCGCGAGTCGGGCGAGTCGTGGGCATGCAGGGTGTGAAGAATCGGCAGCGGTGAGCCTGTAGCGAGCCAGGGTGCGGCAGCTGCGGCCGCGCCAACCCGTGGAGGTAGGCGCATGTGGGAAGGGGGGGGGGGGGGAGGGGAGGTGGGGTGTGCGTGGTGGTGGGCCAATGGCCGTCACTCGTTCCTTCTCTTCCTTCGCACGGTTTGGCTCCGCCGTGTCGCACAGCTCGCGGCTTGTTCGGCGAGCACAACACCAGCGTACGTGACGGCTAGAGATTTGGCTGCGGTCACGGCCACACCTCACTCACTAGCTTCTAATGGCGGCGATAGCAGATACCGCGGCGCCGGCAGAGTCGGCGGTGGCTTACTTTGAGGGAGAGGCGACGGCGCCAGAGTGGCTGGAGAAGGCGGCTGGACAGGTTGAGGCCTTTGTGGCGGCCAGCGATGAGGTCTTGACGGTGGTGGTCACCTCGGGCGGAACGATGGTGCCGCTGGAGCGGCGAACGGTGCGGTTTGTGGACAACTTCTCGACAGGCACTCGCGGCTCGCGATCGGCTGAGGCCTTTTTGGCTGCGGGCTATCGAGTTGTCTTCCTCCATCGTGCCGGCTCGAAGCGGCCGTACCTGTCGCAGATGAGCATGGAGGCTCTGTTTGATGCCGATGGCCCAGGCGCGCTGGTTGAGACCGGCGACGGCTCTCTGCTGGTGCCAAACGAGTCGCCAGTGGTGGCGTGTGTCCGAGCCCGCCGCGCCGCCAAGGCCAGCGGCATGCTGCTGGAGATTCCGTTTGTGACCGTCGAGGACTACCTGTGGCTGCTGCGGCGGGTGGCGCAATGCGTGGAGAGCCTGGGCGCGCGGGCGATGATGTACCTAGCAGCGGCAGTGTCGGACTACTACGTGCCGACAGCCGCCATGCCTGAACACAAGATCCAGTCGTCAGCCGAGGCGCTGGTGCTGGAGCTCGAGCCGGTGCCCAAGATGCTCGGTGCGCTGCATGCGGAATGGGCGCCGGCTGCACTGGTGGTCTCGTTCAAGCTGGAGACCGATGCGGCGCTGGTTGAGGCCAAGGCACGGCGCGCCATCGCCAAGTATGGCGTCAACCTGGTGGTGGCCAACCGGCTCGACAACCGCAACGAGCTCGTCCACGTCGTCCACGCCGACGCCAGCCGGCCCGTGGTCGACGTCTCCCCAGGTGCGCCTGGCGAACCGATCGAGATTCAGCTGGTGCAGACTCTCAAGGCCGAACACGAGGCGTTTGTCAGGAACTCGTAGCTGGCTTCGGGGCGAGGAGCTGGATGAGCACTCCATCTCATCGGATGCGAATAAGAGCCAACGGCCGGCTGTGCTAACTGCCGTCGGCAACTGCTGACATCAGGTAGCCACTAGGCGGTGCCACCTGGAATGCGACTCGGCAGCCAGCGGCTCTGTCACGTCCTCACCTCAATCGCCAGCCACACCACCACGTCGTTGTCCACACTTCACTCGGACACCTCCAAAAGATGGCCGACGACCCCTCTGTGTACGCACCCACCACCCACCATGCTCTCCTCTCCCCTTTCCCCACTTTCCCGTCTTTCTCCTCCATGTTCCCCTCCGGCTGTGAACAACCCCTGTAGCCCCTTTGCGAAAGTTCCTTCTGCCACCCGACGAAGGCGACCCGCGACCGGTGGGCTGGCGGGCGACGGGCGGCATGGCAGACGGGGTTGCTGATGACGCTTCCGCCTGTCAGCAGTGTACCTGCCTCCCTACGTAGGCATGCTGCCGCAATGCGAGGGCACAAAGTAACATGCGCAGACGCAGACGGAGCCTTGCTTCCGCTGGTGGGGCCGAGCCGCTCGGTGGTCGCCTGGTTTTTTGTCTTGTGAAAAGAGGGGGGTGGGGAGCGGGCAGTTCCCGCACCTGGGCAAGCGACTCACAAACGAGGGAGGAAATGTGGGGACAGTCCGAAGGACACGAAGCAGGACGAGATCGCGACGGCGATCCTGCGGAAGAAGGACCGGCCGAACCGGCTGGTGGTCGAGGAGGCCGAGAACGATGACAACTCGGTTGTTGCGCTCAACACGGCGACGATGGAGCGGCTGCAGCTGTTCCGCGGCGACACGGTGCTGCTGAAGGGCAAGAAGCGGCGCGACACGGTATGCATTGTGCTTGCAGATGACACGTGTGCCGAGAACAAGATCCGGATGAACAAGGTGGTTCGCAACAACCTGCGGGTCCGGCTCTCGGACGTCGTCTCGATCCACCCGTGCCCGGACGTCAAGTACGGGTCGCGCATTCACGTGCTCCCGATCGACGACACGATCGAGGGTGTGACCGGCTCGCTCTTTGACGTCTTCCTCAAGCCGTACTTTCTCGAGGCATACCGGCCGGTCCGCAAGGGCGATCTGTTCCAGGTCCGCGGCGGCATGCGCGCGGTCGAGTTCAAGGTTGTCGAGACCGACCCTCTCCCGTACTGCATCGTGGCGCCCGAGACCGTCATTCACTGCGAGGGCGAGCCGATCAAGCGCGAGGACGAGGAGCGGCTCGACGACGTCGGCTACGACGACATTGGCGGCTGCCGCAAGCAGCTCGCTCAGATCCGCGAGATGGTCGAGCTCCCGCTCCGCCACCCGCAGCTCTTCAAGTCGATCGGCGTCAAGCCACCGCGCGGCATCCTCATGTACGGTCCGCCCGGAACTGGAAAGACCCTCATTGCCCGCGCTGTTGCCAACGAGACGGGCGCGTTCTTCTTCCTCCTTAACGGGCCGGAGATCATGTCCAAGATGGCCGGAGAGTCAGAGTGCGCCATCGGCTCGACCATCGTCACCGACTACGCCGGTGTCGGCCGCCGCATTGACACCTACGACACCCGGCACCAGGTCCTGACCGCCACCGTCCCGACCGGTGCGGGCGCCGCCCCGGTGCCGCTCCCGGGCGAGGCCCCGCTCGACTTTGACGCCCGCCGCGTCACGTCTGCGCTCTCGGCCGCCCCGGCTGAGTACCGCAACAACGGGCCGCGGACCCAGTTTGTGGAGATTGTTGCCCAGGACGGCACCGAGTTGGTCTTTACTCCGGACCACCTGTTCTACGCCCGTGCGCCTGGTGCCTCTGACTTTGCCTACACTCCGGCCAAGGAGCTCACCACCGAGCACGTTCTCTGGGCGCAGGCGCTGCCTGTTACCGGCAACACCGACCATACGGTTGCGCCCGGATCGGCTTACGCCGCCGCACTCGCGTCGCCCGCCGTTCGCGCGATCGCCCTCGGCGACGACGATGCCGCGCTGGCCGAGACCATGGCCGTCCTTGGCCGCATCGCCGGCCTTGTGATGGGCGGTGGGTCTTTCACCGGCCGCCGCGCTCGCGTCATTCTTGGCAGCCGCCTCGATGTCGATGCGCTCGCGACCGACCTGGACCTGCTCGGCTTTGAGCTCGGCGCCACGCGCTTTGTCAACAACGAGCGCACCCTGGTTGACGAGGAGTCGAGCAACATGTCTGGCTGGGAGTGTGCCCTGCCGGCGGCTGTTCGTGACGCCATCGCGGAGATCATCCCTCTCGACGCCTCCGGCCACAAGAAGTCGTTCCACCTCCCGGCGGTCTTCTCCTCCGCGCCGCCCCTTTTCCGGCGCGAGTACATTGCAGGCCTCCACGGAGCGGACGGCGACAAGGCTGTCGCGCGCTCTGGCGACTCCCGCCGCACATTTGCTGTCATGGGCACTTCCTTCTCGAAGGACTTCTCCTCCGCGGATGGGCCTTCGCAGGCTGAGCTCGGCGAGCTCGAGGCGTACCAGGCCGCTCTCATGGCGGCATACACTGACCTTGGGGTGGCTGTGCGCGTCAACAAGACTCAGGTCCGCTCGCACGCGTTCAACGACGACCTCGCGTCGTGCGTGTACACGTTCGACCTTGTGAGCGAGCCCAGCAACATCGTTGCGTTCCAGCGTAACATCGGCGTCCGCTACAGTGCCACCAAGGCCTCGAGCTTTGCCGTCAACCGCGGCATCACCGGTGAGCTTGCTCGCAAGAACAACGTGTACAACACAGTTGTTGAGAAGCTGTTGGAGAAGGCCCTCGTCATGCTCGGCAAGCACTCGTCCTCCAACTTGCGCTCGCAGGTCATCGGCCAGGTTCTCGGCGAGCTCAACGATCACGATGCTCTCTTTGCCCCGACCGAGGTTCAGATGGACGATGCATGGGAGTCTGTGCTGCGCTTTGTCAAGGATCAACTCGCCACCACGGGCCACCCGCTTGACGAGCCCATTCCCGCTGACGTGGCTGGTCGCATCATGGATGCCAACCGTGGCCGCACCATGGACGCTCAGGTCGAGACCGACTTTGTGACGTCGACTCGGAGCTGCCCGGCTGCTGGCCGCGACGCGGCGTTCCACGGCGAGCTGGGCATCAAGGCTGTGGCGCGCGTGACGCGCCCCGCCGAGCCGGTCTACGACCTCATCGTCCCGCGCGCAGCGCACTTCCACGCCGAGGGCATCCTCGTCCACAACTCGAACCTTCGCAAGGCGTTCGAGGAGGCGGAGAAGAACGCGCCGGCGATTATCTTCATCGACGAGGTCGACTCGATCGCGCCCAAGCGCGACAAGACCAACGGCGAGGTCGAGCGGCGCATCGTGTCGCAGCTCCTCACGCTGATGGACGGCGTCAAGTCGCGGTCGCAGGTTGTGGTCATTGCCGCGACGAACCGGCCCAACTCGATCGACCCGGCGCTGCGGCGGTTCGGGCGGTTCGACCGCGAGCTGGACATTGGCATCCCGGACCAGGTCGGCCGGCTGGAGATTCTCCGCATCCACACCAAGAACATGAAGCTCTCGGACGATGTCGACCTCGAGGTCGTGGCTGCCGACACGCACGGGCATGTCGGTGCTGATCTTGCGCAGCTCTGCACCGAGGCTGCGCTGCAGTGCATTCGCGAGAAGATGGACATCATCGACCTCGACGACGACACCATTGACGCCGAAATCCTTGACTCGATGGCGGTGACGCAAGACCATTTCCTGTACGCGCTTGAGGCGTCGAACCCGTCGGCGCTTCGCGAGACGACGGTCGAGGTGCCGAACGTCTCGTGGGACGACATTGGCGGCCTCGAGGGCGTCAAGGCTGAGCTCCGCGAGATGGTCCAGTACCCGGTCCAGTTCCCGGAGCTCTTTGCCAAGTTTGGCATGGCGGCCTCGCGTGGCGTGCTTTTCTACGGCCCGCCCGGATGCGGCAAGACCCTGCTGGCAAAGGCCATCGCCAACGAGTGCCAGGCCAACTTTATCTCGGTCAAGGCTGCCGAGCTCCTCACCATGTGGTTTGGCGAGTCGGAGGCCAACGTCCGTGAGCTCTTTGACAAGGCACGCTCGGCCGCGCCCTGCATCCTCTTCTTTGACGAGCTCGACTCGATCGCCCGCCAGCGTGGCGGTGGCGGTGGCGACGCCGGCGGCGCCGCGGACCGTGTCATCAACCAGCTCCTCACCGAGCTCGACGGTGCCGGCGTCAAGAAGAATGTCTTTATCATTGGCGCCACAAACCGGCCGGACATCCTCGACTCGGCTCTCATGCGTCCGGGCCGCCTCGATCAGCTCATCTACATTCCGCTGCCGGACCTTGCGTCGCGCCTCTCGATCTTTGAGTCGCTCCTCCGCAAGTCGCCCGTCGCACCCGACGTCGACCTCAACGTTCTTGCGCAGTCGACCGCCGGCTTCTCGGGCGCCGACATTGCCGAGATCTGCCAGCGCGCCGCCAAGCTCGCCATCCGCGAGACCATCTCGGCCCGCATGCGCGCTGCCCGCGAGGCCGCCGAGTCTGGCATGGAGCTCGCCGTCGACGACGAGCTCGAGGACCCGGTGCCCTACATCTCGCGCGCACACTTTGAGGCCGCCCGCTCTGTCGCCCGCCGCTCCGTCTCGGACGCTGACATCCGCAAGTACGAGATGTTCTCCCAGACCATCACCACCTCGGGCGTCGACGGTGTCTTCGGCGGCGTCCCGCCTCCGGCCGCGCCTGGTGCCGCACCGGCCGCCGGCCTTGGCCTCGATGCCGACGATGACGACGACGAGGATCTTTACAACTAGTCCGTTGCAGTAACACGCATACACACCACCTCGGCGCACCCGCACACCCGTCCTACACCCTCTCATTTTCTTACATACATGGTACATCCTCTTTTTATCGTACTTTCGCACATGCCTCTTCCGTGCACGGCTGAACCCCCCGCATTTCGCCGCCAACCTCCTGCGGCTCCAAAACCAAAGTGGGTCAGTGCAGGTCGGTGAACCCCGGCACACGACCACCAGGTCGGTGAACCCCGGCACACGACCACCACGCGACTCGCTCTGCTGCTGCCACTCCACTGGCATGTCATCGACAACATCATCCGCCAGCAGCAGAGATGCTCGCGGACCGGCCGCCCGCATTTGCTTTCAAACACTCACCTTGCTCCGCAAGAACGGTCGGACGTACCTGCGCTCGCCGGGCTCTATCGCTACCTTTGTGGCTCTCCCGGCGGCGGTCCTGATCGTTCTCGGCCTACTCGCCCTCATCTCGCAGTCCAACTCGGATCTGGCCACCGCCAACCGGACGCCGTCGCGGACTCTGGTCGGCGCCATCCCGGCTTGTACAGCCTCTGTGACCGGCGCCCCTTGTAATCGATTCGCCTACAACTACGCCGGCGTTCCGGTCGTCGACCGCCTCATCGGAGCCATTCTCGGCGCGCAGGGCATTCCCGCCTCTGATGTCGTGGGGCTGGCCGGCGATGCCGACGCCGTCGAGGCATACATGCTCGCCAACTACAACACGACCCAGGCGGCGTACATCTTCGACTTTGACAACGTGACCCATGCCAACGCGCTCCCCACCACGGGGCCGTTCTACACCCTCATGGCCAATCTCTCCATCTACGAGGACGCATGCAGCGAGACCTCGGTCTCTGATCGGTTCTACAACTGTCCGCAGCCGGCCTCGCACCTAGTCCTCCCCATGCAAAAGGCGCTGCATGAAGCTACAGTCGCCGAGCTCGGTCTTGCCGCGACGCCTGCCTCTTTTGACGTTGCCTACGTCCAGTTTGCGCACCCGGTCATCATCGAGTCAGACCTTCGCGCCTCGGCTGTGGTGCTGTTCCTCGTCATCGCCGCCTGCATCCCGCTTGTTATGATCACCAACGCGCTTGTTGGCGAGAAAGAAGCCAGGCTGAAGCACATGCTGGACGTCGTCGGCGTCTCGAGCCTCGCCCAGTTTGTCTCGTGGTGGATGACTCTGACGCTGCTCACCTTGCTCTCAGTCGTTGTCCTCATGATTGCACTCGCCGTCTTCCAGTTCCCCATCGTCGTTCGCAACGATCCCGCCCTCCTCTTTGTCCTTCTCCTCATTCACGCTTTTGCCCTCGTCTCCACCGGCTTTGCACTCGCCGCCCCGTTCAACGCGGTCAAGCCGGCGCGGACAGTTGGCCAGATCTACATTGCGCTCTTTGCCATCTCGGCCTCGGCCATCGCGCTTGTTCTCGAGCTCGACAATGACGTCGCAAAGCAGTGGCGCCCCATCCTCAACTTTGTCCCGCCGGCCATGCTCGCCAAAGGCATCAACGACCTCGCGACCGCCGCCATGCAGCGCTCAACCACCTCGGGCCTCTCGTGGGCTGATCGCACCTCCAACGCCACGTACTACCCGCTTGCAGACGTCTACGGCTGGCTCGTCCTCGACACCTTCCTCTACCTCATCCTCGCCTGGTTCCTCGCCAACGTTACGCCTGACGTCATCGGCGCACGCCGCCCGCCCTGGTTCTTCCTCACCCGCGAGTACTGGGGCTGTGGCGCGTCCACGCGCGTCGACAGCCGCAGCCTCGAGCCGCCGTCGCTCGACTCGGACGCCGACTCGGACGTCGAGCGGCTTGCCGGTACCATCGTTCATGAGCCCGCGCCCGGATCGCTCCACGCCATCGGCATCTCCCGAGTCTTCCGCTCGATGTACGAGACCCTCACCTGCGCTTCTGGCTTCACCGCCGTCCACTCGGTCTCGCTCGAACTTCGGCCGAACCGTTGTTTTGCCCTCCTCGGGCCCAACGGATCCGGCAAGTCGACAACCATCAACATGCTCACTGGCGCCCTGGCCGCAACATCGGGCATCGTTGCCCTCGACGGCGTCGTTCTCTCGGAAGCCTCGCTCGTTTCCATCCGGCGCGCCCTCGGCGTCGCCCCGCAGTTTGACGTCGTGTGGGACCATCTCTCGGCCGCCGAAAACGTAGCCTTCTTTGCCCGCCTCAAGGGCGTACCCGAGTCAGCCGTCGCCGACGAGGTTGAGGAACGGTTGACCGAGGTCGAGCTTTGGGATCACGCTAGCAGGCCCGTCGGTGGCTTTTCCGGCGGCATGCGCCGTCGCCTCTCGGTGGCTATGGCCCTCACCGGCTCGCCGCAAGTTGTGCTTCTCGACGAGCCATCGTCAGGTCTCGATCCGGTCTCGCGCCGAAAGCTCTGGGATGTCATCCAGCGCGCCTCGCTTGTCCCTGGCCGCATCGTCCTCCTCACCACCCACTCGATGGAAGAGGCCGACGTGCTCGCCGACGACGTCGCCATTCTCGTCAACGGCCACCTCCGGGCCCTCGGCTCGCCGCTCCATCTCAAAACCAAGTTTGGTGAGGGCTATCGCGTCAAAATCGCTTGCCGCTCCAGCGACCGTGCCACGCTCCTTGCTGACCTCACCGCGGCGTGGCCCAAGTTTGTTCCACGCGCTGATGGCGACCAGAACATCATTCTGGTTGTCTCGGCCCGCGCACGCGGCAAGCTCCTCCGTTTGCTCGAAGATCTCGAAGCCCGCGACGAGGTCCACGACGTGGCGCTCTCGCTCACCACTCTCGATGACGTCTTTCTCGACATTGCTGGCAAGTACCTCGATCCCGACCAGCTCCCCGACGCCACGCCGCTCGATGCCATGTCGGACGCTTCTGGTACCGAGTCGAGTGGCAATGAGTCGAGCACCGGCTCACGCTCCAAGTCGTCTTCTCGCTCGCTTTCGAGGCGCAAGACCGGTTCGGTTGCCAACCAGGCCGTGGCGCTAGGGGCCAAGACCTGGCACCTCATGCGGCGGCAGCGATCACAGCTCTGCTGCCAGATCCTCTTCCCAGCCGTCATCCTTGGCATTCTTGTTCTCATTCAGGTCCTCCTTGTCTCGTCGTCCGACTCGCTCTCTGATGTCGACCTCGATCCAAAGCCGTTCTCGCCCGCCAATCTCTTTACCGTCCTCGCCAGTCCCGGCACCTGGCCGCATAGGCTCGGCACCGTCTTTGCTCCCACCACAAGCTACGGGTCGAGAGTAGCGCGCTCGATGCAAGGCATCGCAGCCAACGCAAGCTTCAATCCGTTCAACTCGGTCCCGCTTGTCGCCGCTGGCTTCAAGGTTGAGACCTGGCCGAGCTACGCCGCGCTGCAGGCCGACGCTTTTGCCTCGTGGGAGGTCCCTGCCGCGCAGTACCTCGGCGGCATTGTGTACAACTCGCTCGATCTAAGCTCGGGCTCGATGAGCGTCGACCTTCTCTTTAACCGAACCGATGAGAACAACTACCTCTCGCTCATTCCGCTCCACACGGCCTCGTTCACCTGGGCAGTCCAAGGCGCGCTCAACGCGAGCGCGCCGCTGGAGGTGCTTGTCTCGTCGACGCCGTCGCGCGGTGTCATCGACTCGGGCTTCTCCCTCATGTCGATTCTCGCGCTGCTTCTCTACCCGCTCCTGCTCTTTATTCAGTTCCCGATGTACGTGGCCAACGTCGTGTACGACAAGGAGCGGAACCTCATTGCCATGATGAAGATCATGGGCCTCAAGACCTCGGTCTACTGGGCCATCAACCTTGCTATCAACTCGCTCCTCTACACTGCAGGAGTGGTGCTCCTGATTGTCCTCGGCCTCATCGCCGACATCGATTTTTTCACCGCCAATGCTGCGGGTGCCTACATCATTCTCTTCCTCCTCTTTGGCTTTGCCATGATCGGCTTTGCCGCTGCCTTCTCCACTCTCTTTGCCAAGGAGCAAGTTGCGTCGGTCGCCGCCTACGGCCTTGTCTGGCTCTCGTGGCTCACTGGCCTCATCCTGCTTGGCCAGATCGGAAGCGACGATGGCAAGCTGCGCCTCTTTTCGCTGCATCCGTACTACGCGCTGCTCCGCGGTGTCGTTAATCTTGCAGCTGCAGCCGAGAACGGCGGCATCCGCATGGCCCAGCTCGACGAGTTCAAGCTCGACGAGATCTACGGTTTCCTTGCCGGCGAGGGTGTGGTGCTGTGGATCCTGGCCCTCTGGCTCGACGCGGTGTACCCTGCCGGCGATGGCGTGCGCAAGCCGTGGTTTTTCTTCCTCCAGCCCTCGTACTGGCGGACACACCGGGTGGCGCACTCGGACGAAGAGCGCTCGATGAGCGTGTCGTCGGTCTCGGACCTTGCCGCCAGCGACGAGGACTCGGACGTTGCCGCCGAGCGCATGGCCATGGTCTCTGCGAGCGCCTTTGACGATAACGCCATCATTCTGCGATCGCTGCGCAAGCGATTTGGCTCGTTTGATGCCGTCCGTGGCGTCTCGTTTGGTGTCCGCCGCAACGAGGTTCTTGCCCTGCTCGGGCCGTCGGGCGCGGGCAAAACGACGGTCGTCAACATGCTTGCCGGCCACCACGCCCCGAGCTCGGGAACAGCCTACGTTGACTCGCTCAACGTGGCAACGCAAATCGACGACATCCACGCCGTCCTCGGTGTCTGCCCGCAGCACGATGTCCACTGGGGCATGCTCACCGCATCGGAGCACCTTACCTTCTATGGCCGCCTCAAGGGCCTCTCGGGCTCTGCGCTGGCCACCGAGGTCCGCGAGACCCTCGAGGCGCTCCAGCTTGCGCATGTAGCCAACAAGGCTGTCGGCTCGTTTTCAGGCGGCATGCGGAGGCGAGTCTCTCTCGGCATGGCCATCATCGGCTCGCCACGCATCGTCATGCTCGACGAGCCGACAACCGGGCTCGATCCCGTAACCCGGCGTGGTATTTGGCGCATTATCCGCACCGCGTGTGCCCGCCGTGGCGCCACCGTTGTCCTCACCACTCACTCGATGGAGGAGGCCGAGGCTCTCGCTGATCGCGTTGCCATCATGACCGGCGGTACGCTCGCGTGCATCGGCACGACCGCTGAACTCAAGGCCAAGTTCGCATCGGGCTACCGGGTCACCGTCGCCCTCACTCCCGATGGCAAGCCTGTCCGCGCCCGCGCCGCTATCGAACGTGCGCTGCCGTCTGCCGTGTGGATGGCACACTCGCTCGGCTCGGTCCTGCACTTTGCCGTCCCCGGCGACGAGCTTCAGCTCTCGCAAGTCTTCGAGGCGGCCCAGGAGGCCGAGGCGAGCGCATCGCGCCACATCGCACACTTTGCCGTCGCACAGTCGACGCTCGAGGATGTGTTCATCAACCGCGCCGTCGCTGCCAACGGCTCTTCGCCCGCCACCGCCGCTACCAGCCGCCGTCAGCCCGGCCCGTCCTCGCCCCCGTCGTCGGCTTCGAATTCAACGTCGACTTCGGAATCGACGCTGTCTCCCTCTAGTGGCGGATCCAAAGCAAGCACCGCCACCACCAGCTCAGGCTCTGAAGCAGAAGAGGAGGAGTACTATTCCTACACCGAAGAATGGTACTCGTACTCGTACAACAAGTAAACTCCAGATCTGTGCAAAGGAGAGCCACAGGTCGGGCCAATCAGCCACTTTTGCCATCGGGCCACAGCTTCAGGCCAGCAGCGGGCCATTGCCCCTCGCTCTTTCAGCCGATGTTCCGTCCCATCTTCCACCCCTCTCCCCCCCTTCCTCTCCACATCACCATGGAGTACACTGGCGTCGGAGCTGCCGGCCCTGCCGCGTCTACCGCCGACAAGACTGCGGCTGACTACTACTTTGACTCGTACGTGATCCTATCAAGCGGGCGGTTCCCCCGGTGCCCTTCCCCCCCCCCCCCCCCCTTGCGAGGTGGATGCCTGCCCATCAGGATGGGGCAGTTTGCGGGCCAATTCCGGGGTGAGGGTGGGGGGGAGGGAGGGGGATGGAGGTTCTGAAGTCGGGTAGCAGACTTGGTCTGCAGCTCGAAGGAGGGGGGGGGGGAGGACGGAAGGGGGGAGGGAGAGGCGCTGCTCACGGAAGAAGGACGGCGGTGTGTGTGCGGTGCGTGTGCAGGTACGCCCACCATGGGATCCACGAGGAGATGCTCAAGGATACGGTGCGGACCGAGTCGTACCGCGACGCGATTCTCAAGAACCCGCATCTGCTGAAGGACAAGGTTGTGATGGATGTCGGGTGCGGCACGGGCATTCTTTCGATGTTCTGCGCACAGGCCGGAGCCAAGCATGTGTACGCCATGGAGTGCTCGGCCATTGTGGAGCAGGCGCGCAAGATCGCCGCCGCCAACGGGTTCGGCGACAAGATCACCTTTATTCAGGGCAAGGTCGAGGAGGTCGAGCTGCCCGACGGAGTCGAGCAGATTGACGTCATTGTCTCCGAGTGGATGGGCTACTTTTTGCTCTACGAGTCGATGCTCAACACGGTCATCTTTGCCCGCGACAAGTGGCTTGCGCCCGACGGCGTCATCCTCCCGGACAAGGCCATCATGTACATTGCCGCGCTCGAGGACGGTGAGTACAAGCGCGAGAAGCTCGACTTTTGGAACAACGTGTACGGCTTTGACATGTCGTGCATCCGCGAGCTCGCGCTCGTCGAGCCGCTCGTCGACACGGTCGACCCGGCCGCGGTCGTCACCGAGGCCTTCCCCTTCAAGGTCCTCGACATGAAGACCGTGACCGTCGACGACCTCACCTTCTCCGCAGACTTTGCTCTCAAGGTCACCCGCGACGACTACTGCCACGGCTTTGTCTCGTGGTTCGACTGCGAGTTCTCCTCGTGCCACAAGCCGGTTGCCTTCTCCACCGGCCCGGACGCGCCCTACACCCACTGGAAGTCGACCGTCCTCTATGCCAACGCTGGCGAGATCATGGTCTCGACCGGAGAGATCATCACCGGCACCGTCTCGGTCGCGCCCAACGCGACTAACCCGCGCGACCTCGACATTGCCCTCTCCTTTGAGCACAAGGGCCGCTACCAGGAGACCGTCGAGACCATGGAGTACAAGATGCGCTGAGTTGAGTGCACGACCTACGCGACATAAAATGGAAACACAAAGAAGAGGAAGAGTGAGCTCCCAGCACTCACGCAACCTTGTCCGAGCTGCGATGCTCGATCGCCGCATGTTCGTCATTGTGCAGACTGTCTGCCCAGCCCGAGATGGCGGCGGCGGCGGTGTGCGAGGCGTTCGCCGCCTGGTTGTCGTATGCAGTGACCGACGCGCCCGGGACAGCGAGGTGAGTCTCGGACGCGACGCTGCCGTGCAGCGGGTGCGGCGGGGCGTCGAGTCGGTGGCGGGTCGCGCCGTACGTCCAATCGGTGATCTGGCGAGTGATGGCGTCGACGTCGAGAATGGTCGAGTGGAGGATGCGGGTCATGGGCACGGTCTCGTGAACGTGCAGAAAGTCGAGGTACGGCTCCTCCATGTGGACCGAGACGGCCCAGATGCCAAACATGGTGAAGGAGACAAAGGCCGAGACAACAGGTGTGGCCCAGCCGTAGTCTTCGACAAAGGCCATGGGCACCGTAAAGACGTAGAAGCAGAGCGAGACAAAGAAGATCTGAGCGTAGCAAAACGGCAGCGGCATGGCCTTGACCTTGGTGCACGCCACAAACTCGGAGGTCATACTCTCCATGTACGCCATGATGTGCAGGTACTCACGCTCCGAGATAAAGGCCTTGGACTTGAGGACGGCGACCTCGATGGACATCCAGCCGACGACCAACAGCGGCCGACGCTTGCGAGTCGCCAGGTACGTCAGCTCGTCGGGAGAGACGAGGGTGTGGACGAGCGAGCCGGGTGTGGTGATATCGACCTCGCTCCGCAGGTGCATCATGACCAGGACCATAAAGAGCTTGGCGTAGCGAGTGAACCGCCCGACAAGGGCGTCGTCCTCGCCCACAGCGAGCAGCGCCACCTCGCGTGTCACGTTGCGGACGACTTTGCCGAGCGCGCCGAGCTGCGAGAAGCCCTCGGTATACCGCTGATACGAGATGCTTGTCCGCATGACCAGCAGGAAGCCAAGGACAAAGCCAAAGGCCCTATGGGCAGAGTTGGGCACCGAGAGCGAGGCATCGGTTGTCTTGACCAGCACCGTCCAGAAGACCGACAAGCCGACCGCCGCCACCATTTGCGGGAGGATGGAGAAGAGGATGGACTCGTGCCGCGGAAGCCATTGGTACAGCACCTGGTACCAGTTCTGCAGCTTGTGCGGCCTCATCCCTACCTACTGCTGTGTCACGCCTGCCTTGCGTCACGTCTTGCCGCTTGTCGTCTTGCCCGCCGGCACCTCTCGCGCCCGCCACACCCGGCGCCCGCAGCGCCACTCGCCACTCGCCACTCGCCACGAGGACCCGTCCTCCGCTAGGCTACAGGCTACATGCATCATGGGTACAGGTGGTTGGTTTAACACTAGTAAACATCAACTGTGTGCGTCAGGACTTACTTGCGCCGCCGCCGTGACCGGTCGCTGCTGCGATCACGGTCGCTGCCACGAGCCTGCGACGACGGCGGCGGCAGCGAGCGCTCGAGCGACTTGGAGAGTGTCTCCTCGCGCTCGAGCTGGTCTTTGAACCGCGAGAGGCGGCCGGAGAGCGCGCGGATGATGCGCATTTTGGACTCGAGCAGACCGTCGAGCTGGGCCACATACTCGTCGACGACCGAGCCGGGCTGGTCGACCGAGTGCAGGAGCCGCATCTCCTGCTTGACCACCTCCATCATGTCATCGATTTGCTGGCGATGGGCAAGGATGAGGTCCTCCTTCTCTTGCAGGATCTGCGAGACGAGCTCGGCGTGGGTGTCGACGAGCTCCTCCACGTCGTGCGGTGGGCGGGCAGACGCGACGGCCGACGACGACGCCGCAGGCGCGCCACCGCCCGCCGACGTCCGTGCGACGGCGCCCTTGCCGGCGACCGCCCGCCGCCCGCCGCCGGCTCCGCTCGAGCCACTGCCGCCGCCGCCCTTGCCGGAAGTGTACGGGTAGGTGGAGCGGTCGGCCGAGGGGCCCGATGGCCCGCCGCCCTTGGAGCGCAGCTCCTTGACGCGGTCAGCGTAGCGGAGCGTGTTGAGCGTGTTCTCGGCAGCATAGTTGGTGGGCGAGACAGTGGCAATCATGACCGTCCGCGACGTCGAGCCGACAAACGAGTCCTTGAGCACCTGGGTGAGCTTGGACTGGCGGAACGGCGTGTGGACCTTTTCCATGTCGAGCGCGCGGATACACTCCTTGAGAGCCAGCAGTGACTTATTGATCTCGGCGCCCTCCATCCGGCGGCGGCGGTCGTTATTGGTGGTGTCTGCGGCGCGCTCCGAGCCGGCCAAGTCGATGAACGAGAGCTTGCCAACCGGCCGCTGGCCGTCGGGCGGCCCGGCCTTGAGCACAATCTGCAGGATGGCGTGCGAGCGAGACGAGTCGGCGTTGACGCCTGTTGCGCCCGTCGACCGCACCGCGTTGCCGTACGCCATTAGCTCAAGGAACTCGTCGACCGACTGCACTTCGTTCTCGTTGAGGCCGACAATAACGACCCGCCGCTTGGCGTCCTCGCGCGCCACGAGCTTCTTGCGGTCGTTGAGCAAGTCGTACAGCACGCCGCCGTAGATCTCAAAAAACGAGATCCAGAGGGTGTACTCGGACTTGGCCCGTGCCCCGCGGCTCTCAAGCTGAGCAAAAATGTCCTCGGCAGCGAGCATGTAAAGGCCGTCGTTGTTGGTGCCGGACATGGTGTAGGTCTTGCCTGACCCGGTCTGGCCGTAGGCAAAGCACGTCGCCTTTCCGCCGCCAAACATGGTCTTGACCAGCGGCTTGGCCGTCCGCGCGTACACGTCGGCGTTGGACGCGCCCTCGTAGAAGACCTCGTCGAAGCGGAACTCGTGATCCTCGATGTACTTGGTCATGTCAACCTTGACCTTGGGCTCGTGCACCACCACCACAGACTCGGACTCGAGCACAGACACAATGTCCTTCTCGCCGCGGCCCTCCTCGCCGCGGTTCATGGGCCGCTTGCGGACGCAGACCGAGATGCGCGAGCCGACCGAGCCGCCGCCACTCCCGCCGCTCCCGCCGTCATCGCCACCACCACCACCATTCCCGCCACCGCGCCTTCCTCCATCCTCACCACCAGCACGTCCCGACCTGCGGCTGGAGCTGCCACCGCTCCCGCGCTCCTCGCGCTCCCTATGCCGAGCCGACAGCGACTGTCGCGCCCGGTGCCTGCCCGACGACATGCGAGCTGGTCGGGGGGGGGGGGGGGGGGGAATAGGGGGAGAGAGAGGCTGTATGTGCTGCAGTAGTCGGTGTCTGCAAGGGTATGGGGGGGTTCACGGGGGTACCTGTGGGTGGGAGAGGTGGAGAGTGGTGGAGAGGGGGGAGGGGAGGGAGGGGAGGAGGGAGGGGGGGAAGGAGGGGAGGACAAGGGAAAGGGGCCCGGCGGGAGTGAGTGGCGCGTTCTGCCACAGGCTGGACTTGGGCATGGGCAGCCACTCGGCTGTTCGCCGCCAACCCTCTGTCCTTCAGCCACCGCCCAGCCAGCCAGCCACCCAGCCACCCACCACCACCACCACCACCCTGCCACCCCTCTTTCTCCCTCCCTCCCCTCCCCACCACCACCAACACCAACACCACCAACACCAACACCACCACCACCACATATACATGTCCGTCAGCCCGGTGCCTTCCCCCGTAGCGGTCGCCCGTGCCACCCCCTCGGCCGCCAACTGCATGGCTGCCCTCGCCCACATCCGTCGCCACGAGCTGGCCCTCCCAGCAGACACCGTGGCCATGGCCCGGGTCGTCCTCCCCACCCTCTCCTCGGCTGCAAATGATCGTACGTGAGCAGGTGCTGCCGCAGTGCCGAGCGGTACCAGAGTGAGGGGCGTATGCAGCCCCGCATACCCCCCATCCCCCCCCCACCACACACACGGGCGACAGCCACTCACATCATCATCATCCGTATCCGTGGACACAGAGTGGGACGTGCTGGAGCAGGTGGCAGTCGCTGCACTGCAGACAAACGAGATGGTGCTGGCGAGCCAGTGCATCCGGCGGCTGGCCAAGAAGTTCCGCGACTCGGATCGTGTCCGCATCCTCATCGCCATGAAGCACGAGGCCGAGGGCGATGTCCAGGTGGCAGTGGAGATGTACAGGGAGATCATCGAGGCCAAGCCCAACTCGCCCATGGCTTACAAGCGCCTTGTTGCCGCCCACAAGGGCGCCGGCGACCTCACCGCCGCCGCCAATACCCTCGCCACCTACCTCGAGACGTACATGACCGACGCCGAGGCCTGGGCCGAGCTCGCCGAGCTCGCGCTGGAGAACGGCAACTACGGTCGCGCCGCCTTTTGCTACGAGGAGCTCATTCTTCTCGAGCCGTACAACTACATCCACCATCTGCTGTATGCCGAGGTCATGTACACCGTCGGCACGCCCGAGAAACTCGACATCGCCCTCGCTTACTTTGCCCAGGCCGTCGAGCTCTCACCGCATGGCTCACCACGTGCCCTCACCGGCCTGCTCATGGCTGCCGCCCGCCTCGGCGGCGCTTCCTCCACCGCTGCTGCATCCTCTGCCGAAGGCCCCAATCCGGCCGCCCTCTTCAAGCTCGCTCGCGACAAGCTCCGCCTCCTCTACACCGCCGACGCCCCGCAGATGCTGGACTCTTTCGAGACCATGATTTCCGGCCTCTCTGGCTCTGCTCAATAAAGTCGCAACCGCACGCATCTCGTCTTTGTGCCCACAAATCCGCCCCCCCCCCGTCTCCGCCGTCCCCCTCCCTCTCTCCCCGCCCGACCAACCGGCCTCCACCCGCCAACCACCACCCACCCACTCGCCACACCTCTCCCGCCCCGCCACCGCAGCCACTGCAACGGCTGCCGGTCCCTCCACCCCCACCCCCACCCCCACCCCCACCCCATTCCCCCCACCCCCTCCCCCATGCCACACACCCCACCATCCCCTTCCGCTGCTGCCCTCCCGCCTCCTGCCGCTGCCCCGCCCGCCGCCGTGGCGTACATGGCTGCGGTGGCGCCGCTGTGGCGCGGGGCACGGGCGGCGGCGGCCGAGGGCGACGCTGCTGCGCTCGCCGATGCCCTTGACGCCGCGCAGCGACGCGAGGAAGCGCTAGCGGTGAGAGTGGCCGAGCTGGAGGCGGCGCCGGCAGGCGCGGTGGTCCGAGCCCAGCTGGCGGTGCTGGAGGAGCGGGCTGGCGGGTATGCCGCAGACACCGATGCCATGCTCCGCGGGGCGGGCGCCTTGCACGCCCAGCTGGCTGCCGCAGACGCCGCTGTCGTCGCCCTGCGGGCAGAGGTGGTCGCCGCCTCGCAGCTACGCGCTGCCGCCCAGATCCGCGCTGCAGAGGCCGAGGCCGAGGCTGCTGATCTTGCTGCCGCCCGCGACAGCCTCGCCAGCCAGCACCAGCGGGTCCTCCTCGTCCTGGCCCACGCCATCGGCATCGAGCGCGAGCTCCTCGCCGACGAGGCCCGCCTCGAGACCGAGCTGGACAACGCAGATGCTATTGCCGCCGCCCTTGTCAAAGCCCGCCACGGCTTGCTCGACGACGTGGCGAGCCTCCGGTCCGCGCGCGATGCCGCCGTGGCCAAGGCAGCCGCCGTCATCGAGACCAACGCCCGGCTCCGGTCCGAGCGAGATGACGCCGTTGCCACCGCCGCCGCCGCAGACGACGCCCGTGAGGTTGCCGAGGCTGCAGGCGCCGCCGCAGCCTCGGCACTCCTCGCTGCCAATCAGAAGCTGGCCGCCAAGCGGACTCTCATTGCAGGGCTCAAGGACCGGCTCAACGATGTCCGCAGCCAGCTTGACACTGCGCGGTCGATGCTCCGCTCACTCGACGCATCCCAAGGCGGGCTCGAGGCCGAGGTGGTCCTCCTCCGCGAAGAGTGCGCCCAGCTGCGGGCCGAAAACGAGGCGCTGTCCACGACGCTGGCGTCAGCGTCGGCCGAGGGCGCTGCCGCCGCTGACGACGCTGCCGCACTCCGTGACATCAACGACAAGCTCGAACGCGCATTGATAGTCGAGCGCGAGACGCGCAGTACCGCGGTTGCTGCGTCGGCGCAGGCCGCCGCCGACGCCGCTGCCGCTGCCACCGCCGTCAGCAAGCTCGAGGCCACGGTAGCCGAGCGAGACGCCGAGGTCGAGTCGCTTCTGCACACCTCGCGCTCGCTGGAGGACGGACTCACATACCAGCACTTTCGCAGGCTCAAGGACGCGCTCAAGGTCTCGCACAAGGCCCGCGACGAACTGCAGGCCAAGCTCGACGCCGCACAAGCCGCTGCCGCCGCTGTCGAGGCCGCCCGGGCAAGCGACCAGTCCGAGATCTCGCGGCTTATGGATAAGAACGCAACAGCCAACGCCCGCGCCTCCTCGCTCGCCAAGCAGATGGAGGCTCTGCGGGCCGAAGCTGCCGGTGGCGTCTCGGCTGCGGAGCATGCGGCGCTGAAGGCGCGGCTCCAAGCCGAGTGCGAGGCCCGACTGCGCGTCGAGGCGCAGCTCGATGCCCAACCAAACTCGCCACTCGCCACATCTCGTCTGCAAGAGAACAAAGGCCGAGCATCTTAGCCGCGCGTCCATCTCGAGCTTCCAAGCAGCCGCCAGTCGGCGTGAGTAACATCAAACTGTGCCGCGCGTCGATCGCCGGCGGACACCAGCAGTTGACTCGCAACGGCTTACGGCACATGTCAGGAGCGTCGACGACCACGGTGGCAGCCGCGGTTCTCCTTGCGCTTGCGCACGCCGCAGCAAGCGCTCACGGACATGGGAGTTGGCAACAGACCGGTGAGGCCAAGGTGCCGTATGGGTGGTTTGGCTTCTCGCCGCAGGGCGTGGCGGTGGTGGGCGAAGATGGCGCTCCGGCGACAGGCGTCATCTTCTCGGGCAAGCATCTGCTGCGGCGGACGAGTCTGCCGGTGCCGGCGACAGGCAGCGAGATGGCGTACGCGACCGAGGTGGAGAACAGAAAGCCCATTCCGCCGGAGCTTGCTGTCGAGGGCTACGAGCACATCGGTGATGTCGCCGCCGCCTTTGACACACTCTACGCGCCGATCGAGAAGCAGGCGACGTACACGGCGCCGGTCATTGCATTCTACGATCCGAACTCGCTCGACTACGTCGGCCACTACACAACGGCGCAGCACCACTGCCCGTGGGTGGCGGTTGATGCAGCGCATGGAATCTTGTTCTCGTCCGAGTACTCGAATGTGAGCTCGCTGTATGCGTATGCGGTAGGCAACGGCACACCGCATACGCTCAGGCCGCTTGGTGCCGTCCCGCTGGCCGGCCTACCGCGCAGCCAGTGGCCAGACGGCATCCAAGAAGCACAGGGAGGAGTTGTGGTGGCGCGCGGCAACAACACGCTGCTGATCATGTCGTCGTCGGCAAGCTTGCAGCCGGTCTTTACCTTTGACATCAGCGGCGTGGCGAGCGGCGGCGCCGCGCAGCTTGTGGCAGCGCAAGCGACGGGCGTCGGTGGCGAGCCTGAAGGGGTGAGCTTTTTGGACGGGCACCTGCTCGCGGTGGTGCACACGCGCTCACTTCTCAGCAACGTGATCCTGCAGTACGGCAGCGGGCCGTGAGGTGGCTAAGGTAGGTTTAAGCTGTGGCGCACGGTGCTTGCATCAGCGCAGGCATCGCGCGCAGCGCGCAAAGATGGAGAGGCGGCTAAGCGCGCCAGGGCGGCGCGCTCAGTGGAGGGCCTGGCCAGACGGGGCTACGGCCATGGTGGCACCGCCAAAGGCAGCGTTAAAGCTGGAGGCGGGCATGGGCGCGGCACCGCGCGACTGCTGGAGGGCGATTTCGCGGGCGAGAGCGGCCTGTTGCGGCGTGAGCGAGTACATCTGCTGCAACGCCGGCGCAGCCTGGGCGGCGACGGCACCTGAGACGCCGGGCGCCGCGGCGCTGCGGGCAACGGGGGCGGCTGCCTGTGTGCCGGGGAAAAGAACACGCTGGGCGGCGCTTGGGCCGTGCGGGCCGGCGACGAGCGGGAGCTGCAGCTGGCGCAGCTGATGCAGCTTCTGGATCTGCAGCGGGAGCGAGCCCGAGGGCGGCGAGCCGGCCAGAGCGGGTGCCGGCGGCGAGCTGGCGGCCGGAGCGGGTGCCGGCGGCGAGCTGTCCTCACTCGCGGACGGCGGCGCGGGTGGCGTCACGCCTGCGGCCTCCATCTGGGCCGGCGTCATCGGCGAGAGCTTGCGGTTGGTCTCAAGGATGTTCTCGATGAGCTCGGTGGTGGCAGGCTCGATGTTGTTCTGGGCGAGCTCGAGGTCGTGCAGCGTCTGGTTGCGTCGCATGGCTTTGGCCAGGATGACGCCGCCCTCGTCGGTCAGTTTGTTGTTGCGCAGATTGAGGGTGCGCAGCGAGGTGTTGCGCCGCAGGAGCTCGGCAACCGCCGCCGCGCCGTCCAAGCCCAGAAAGTTGACAGAGAGGTTGAGCTTGGTGAGGCAGGTGTTGTCGTGGAGGGCGGCCGCCACGGCACGCCCGCCGTCAGCGCCGAGCTTGTTCTTGGAAATGTCCAGCGTGGTGAGTGAGTTGTTGGCCGAGAGCGTCCGCGCAATGTGCTTGCCGCCCTCAGGCCCGAGGTAGTTGTTCCAGAGGTTGAGCGCCGTCAGCGTCGTGTTGTTCTCCAGGCACGCCGCAATGGCCAGTGCGCCCTCCGCCCCAAGCTCATTGCGCCGCAGATTGAGCACCTTGAGCGTCGTGTTCGACATCAGCGACGCTGCAATCGCCCCGCCGCCCTCGGGCCCGAGCTTGTTGTTCCAGAGGTCGAGCGAGGTGAGCGTCGTGTTGCCGCGGAGCGCCTCGGCCACAGACTTGCCGCCCTTGGCGCCCAGCACCGTGTCTATCCCGGCCGCCCGCCAACGTCCCACGCATTCCCACCCGCATGTTCTCCCTCTGTGAGTCCCTGCAGCCTGCCCACACCCACACCCACGCCGACGTCTGCAAGCCTTCCGCGCCGCAAAAATACGCTCTGCCCCGCCTCGACAAGGGCCACCCGCACGGCAGCCGCCTCCGCACCAGCTTCTGCAGCACCACCTCAGCTGCACACAGGGACCACTCTCCGCATAATGCCCTTCTGTGCCCCTCCTCCCGTCTCGCCCTCTCCCCTCTGCCCTCACACCCTGCCCTTCCAAGCCGCCAGGCCTAGACCATGATCGATGGGTGGAAAAACGCGCGCAGCAGCATCAAGAGCGGGCAGGAGCAGGCCATGGCGAGGGGGGGGGGGGGGGGGATAGAGGGAGTCTGCTATTGCTATGGGTGCTCGTACAGTTGAGGTCTAGTGATGATGTTGAGTTGTTCTCCAGCTCGGCCACCGCAAGGGTGACATACGTCGACTTGTCCGCCATGCCGGAGTGGAGTGGCCTCTCCTTCTCTCGCTCCCAACCGGTCGGCAGCTGTCTTTGCCTTTGCCTCAACAAGCAACAGAACCGGCCGGCTCGGCACGGTGGCCCCTTTGAGTGGAGGCAGCTGGTCGCCGACGAATGCCTCAGCCGGCCGCCGGTTGTTTGGGAGGGAGGGGGGTGGGGGGGAGGGGAGGAATGGGGGGGGGGGGATGGGGAGGGGGGGATACGTTCATTAGCGGTTGATGAACATCATCGGCATCGTATTCACCGCCGCGGGCCGGGCGGCGGGCCTCGGTACATGCCTCGGCCGGGTGGCGGCGGGCCGCGCTGGCCGGGGCCCTGGAAACCTGGGCCACGCGGGCCGGGAAACTGCGGCGGCATGCCGCCGCCGTGCATGCCGGGCTGGTTGGGGAACATACCGGGGTGTGGAGCGCGCATACCGAGGGGCGGGCCTCGCATAGAAGGCGGCGGACCACGCATGCCCGGATGCTGTGGCGGCGGCGGCATGCGGCCCATGACCATCGGAGTGGGGCCGGCGGTCGGCGGAACCTGCGGCAGGCCCGGGAAAGCTGGGGCGGCAGGGACCGATGGCAGGCCGCGGATGGTGGGCGGCATGCCGAGCGGCGCCGAGTTGGCGCCGGTCGCCTGGGCGCCGCCGGGGGCGGGCGCCGGGGCGGCAGGCGGGGCGGCAGGCAGCGGCGCGCCCGACGAGACCACGCCGCCCTCCGAGGCGGCAAACATAGTATTCGGCTGCAGGCCAGTTGGCCGCTGGGCAGCAAGCAGGCGCTCGGCGTACGAGCCGTGCCGCTCGCCTGGGGCGCCGTCCTTCTTGAACGCGTACTGAACACGGATCTGCGCGCCACAGAGGAACTGGCCATCCATCTCGGCAATGGCGCGGTCTGCGGCCTCAAACGAGTCAAATGAAACAAAGCCAAAGCCACGCGGCTCGCCGGTCTCTGGGTTGCGGGCGACGTTGACCGGGCGGGCGAGCGCACCAAAGGCCGAGAACGTGCCGCCCAGCGCGGCTTCGTCGACCTCGGGCGAGAGCCCGCCCACGTACAGGTTGGCACCAATGTCGGCCTTGGACTTTTCCGATGCCCCGCGCGAGAGCCTGATCGGCGAGCCGTACAGCCGGACGCCGGTCATGATCTTGAGCGCGTACTCGGTGTCGAGGACCGACTTGAACTCGACAAAGCCAAAGCCCGAGTGCGCCGCCGTCGCCTTGTCGCGCGGCATGTAAACCGACGACACGGGTCCAGCCTGGGTAAACAGCTCCCACAGCAGGGCCTCGGTCACATCGTCGTGCAGGGATCCCACGAACAGCGTCGATTCCTTCAGGAGTGAGAGGGAGGAGTGAGTGGGGGGGGAGGGGGAGGGGGAGGGTGGCCTCTTGGTTGCGGTGCTGGTTGCCAGCGTATGGAACGAGGGGTGGCGATGGCAATGGCTGGTGGGCAGAGTGGCTGGCGGTGGTGGTGCCACCGAGTGCGACTCGTTCGTTCGGTCGGACCAATGGATGGCCGGCTGGTGAGTGGTGGCAATGGGGGGGTGGCTGGCTGGCTGGGGCCAGGGCGTGGGCGGGCAGTCGGCGGGAGAGGAGGGAACTAGTCTTGCTTTGAGACACTTGTCGTCAGCAGGCGTCTAGACAAAGAGTGGGAACTTTGCCTGACAGCATGTCTGCAAGCATCGACATCGACATTGACTCCATTCTGGAGCGCCTGGTGGCGGTCCGTGGCTCGCGGCCTGGCAAGCAGGTCAACCTCGCCGAGAACGAGATCCGGGGCCTGTGTATGCGGGCTCGCGAGGTCTTCATCAGCCAGCCTGTGCTCCTTGAGCTTGAGGCTCCGATTAAGATCTGTGGTACGTGACATGTAGCATGCCGAGGGCTGCCTTGCTAGGCTCTTGTGTGCAGTAGCCGGCCACAAGCGCTGTCCGCCCCGCACCTACGGCCCCCTCTCTGTCGCGCCCTTGGCGCTCGCTCCCCATCCGAAAAAAATCGGTCGGCGCGCGAACAGAGGGGGGCGGCCCACCCACCGGGGGCAGGGGCTGTGCAGGGCGGTACGGGAGGTTACGGCTGTGGCACATGGGCTGGACAGGTGCGAGGTGTGGAGGGGAGCCCTGCTGGCCCTCTGCTGGCGCGGTGGCATCGTCTGTTGCCGACGAGGAAGCTGCCGTGTTCGGTGGCGCGGCGAAGGCTGCGGGAGTGACAATAATGGGCGCCGTTGCGGGCCGGGTGGGAAGGGTGGCCGGCAAGGGCGGCAGCGGGGCAAGCGCAGCAGGTGGCTTTTGCGAGTGCAGCAGGGACTAACAGTGCGACATGGGGCGTGTGTGTGTGGTTGGTGCGGGTGCGAGGGTGCAGGTGACATCCATGGTCAGTACTACGACCTGCTGCGGCTGTTCGAGTACGGCGGCTTCCCGCCCGAGTCCAACTACCTGTTCCTGGGCGACTACGTCGACCGCGGCAAGCAGTCGCTGGAGACGATCTGCCTGCTTCTGGCGTACAAGGTCAAGTATCCGGAGAACTTTTTCATTCTCCGCGGCAACCATGAGTGCGCATCTATCAACCGCATCTACGGCTTTTATGACGAGTGCAAGCGGCGGTACAACATCAAGCTGTGGAAGACCTTTACCGACTGCTTCAACTGCCTTCCCATCTGCGCTGTCATCGACGAGAAGATTTTCTGCACCCATGGTGGTCTCTCGCCCGACCTCTCGTCGCTCGAGCAGATCCGCCGCATCGTGCGGCCGACCGACGTGCCGGACACCGGCCTCCTCTGCGACCTGCTCTGGTCCGACCCGGACAAGGACCTGGCCGGCTGGGGCGAGAGCGACCGTGGCGTCTCGTTCACCTTTGGCCAGGACGTCATCTCCAAGTTCCTGATGAAGCACGATCTCGACCTGGTGTGCAGGGCTCACCAGGTGGTCGAAGACGGCTGTACGTGTTCTGCATTCCCCACACCCCCACACCCCCATCTCCCCTTTCCCTTTTCCCTCTCTCCACGGCACTCACCCACCCTCTCTCCCCTCTCTTCACAGACGACTTCTTCGCGCGGCGGCAGCTGGTCACGCTGTTTAGTGCACCGAACTACTGCGGCGAGTTTGACAACGCAGGAGCCATGATGTCCGTCGACGAGACGCTCATGTGCTCGTTCCAGATCCTCAAGCCGGCCGAGAAGAAGCAAAAGTATGTCTACGGCGGCATGGCGCAGGGGCGCCCGATGACCCCGCCGCGTGGCCCGAAGAAGAAGAACCGCTAACTGCTGTGCACCGGCGCTGTCGCGACCAGTCATCGCGGCTATGCCTTGCTCAGTCCTCTCCATCTTAGTCTTCTCCTGTCGTCCTCTTCCCTCTTTGTGTAAAGTCGCGCTGCGTGCCTTGCCCTTCATGTCAGCGGATGGTCAGCTTCCCACGCTGCGTCGGCCTGGAACTCGGCGATGGCGGCAGCCACGTCGCCGTCAGCGCACGCCAAATATGCTACAGCGTCCTCGCTCGACGCGCGAGTCGCCCGCACAAAGCTTGCCACTGCAGCGTCGATCTTGGAAGCCCGTGCCGGCGCAGCCGCCTGTGCCAGCGCTGACGTGTCCTCGCTGCTCAACTCGCGGTAAGGGACGACGACGGTCGCCCGGGCCTGGAGCTGACTCGCGCGCAGCCCCGGGTTGAGAGCAACAAGCTCGCGACGCGAGAGCCCAAACCGCAGCGCAATGCCACCGAATGTGTCGTCGATGCCGACCGGAACTCGCATCGTCGCCGCCGGCCGGCCTTGGCTCGCCCGAGGCGCATCGTTGTTCGGCACAGCTTGGAGGAGTGCACCGGGTGCATCCTCGGCGCGCGGCGAGAGCCGCCCCCTCGGCAGCGCGTCAGGCAGGAGCGGATCGACGCGGACAGCGTCCAGCGTGGCATGGATTCGCTCCAGACGGTCCGCCATCGCCGCTTGCGCCTTCTCCTTGCCCTTCTCGCCGACTGCGGCCGGTAGCGGTGGCGGCGGATGCGCTTCATACGCCGGCGGCGGCGAGACTGGCCGCCCGGTAGCGACCGTGTAAGCAGGCGCAGGGCCAAGATCGCCATTTGCTTGCGAATGCTGGCGATGCGGAGGCGGGGCGGGGCCGATAAGCTCCATCATCTCGACCACCGGATCGTGGTCGGCTACAGACCTGCCGCCGGGCTCAACGAGACCGGTCTCTCGGCTGCGGCGGCTGCGGCGGCTGCGGCATGCGGCAATGATCCCGTTGCGGGGCGGAGCGGATGCCATGGACGCGGTCTGAGTGGCGGAGGGAGGGAGGGAGGGAGGGAGGAATGGGGCGCGTCGAGTGTGCAAGCTCTGCTCCGGTCCGGGCTACATGTGTGATCGATCACGGCTTCGATCGATCGGGCGCAGCCGGAAAGCGGCAGACTCGTCTGCAGGATCCGAGGCGATGGCGCAGGAAGCAAAGAACGGGCAGCCGTGGGGTGGAGCAGCCAGCGAGGGCGAGGACTGCGGAGTGTGCGACGACAAGATGGAGGACATGCTGCGGTTTGTGCGACAGGGCGGGCGTGGCGCCGGCGCCGGCGGGCAGAGCAGCAGCGGCACCAGTGCCGCCGACGC